TATCTTCAGTAGCACGAGTAGCTCCGCGTGGTACTTTACCTTTGCGACTTTAATCCCAGTCGGAGGGATCATATTGACTATGTGGCTCTCAAGTAAAGGGTTGGACAGGGCACATTGACTGCAGAGCGCTCATGAAGTGCAGTAAGTGTTGAAAAGAGTTGTGTGTGTGTGTGTGTGTGTTCCTTTAATACAGTGGACAAGCATATCGTGTTGAAAAAAAAAATGCAAATTACAAATTTGAAATTGATGCATTGCAGCAGAGCGGCTGGTTGCCTCTGTGGCAAGGCTTATCCCTCATTCCTTATTAATATCTTTACTATTCGTTTCATTAATTCATAGGGTTGATCAATCACTTCAAATGTAGCCAGAATTAATCCTCATGGCGATGCAAAAGCGCTTGAAGAAAATTTGAAATGGTGCATCATTAGTCAAACTGGCTCCATCAGACTCCGTTATCTGAACTAAGTGTCCTCTTGTCTTAATTTAATTCAGTCTCCTCTATCGCTCTCTCTCGTTCCCCGAGTAGGAACATTTCACCGTGAGTAGCCGTACAAAATCATATTGGTACCCTGCCCCTTGTCAGCGTGTTCAGACCTTTACAGCTTTACACTTCATTTCTAAAGCTGATATCAAATGCTCGTCAATCTCGTCACTGTGCTCGACGTTTTGAAGTCATACATGTGGCTCAGAATCATACATCATGAGTATTTCTACAGGAACTTGTTTTCTCCCTCTGCTCAAAGGCTGAACGCATTCCATTAATCACACCCAACACCATCTAGGGACAGAAAATAAACCCTCAGAACGCTGTCACTAGGTCAGGGGTCAAGCTAATGGCTCATTAAAAAATAATGTTCCACCACAACACTGTGGCTTAATGACGAGCCATGAAAAGCCTCGAGCTATTGATCTGTAATCGTTGCAATTAAAGAGAAACTGCAGCCGTGATATACAGGAAAGTCTGTCTGCAGGTCTTGAGCAATACTACCTACGTGGAAAAGTAGTGTAAAGGCTCTCGTAGCACCGTTGGGAAACAGAAAAATGGCTTAAAATGTTCTCCCCTGCCACTGAAGCAATCTGGAGGTGTGGAGTTTGCAAAAGGAGGTTGTTTATCGATCTTTTTTTGAGTTTCTATTGATCTCTATAGCGCGCCTCTCATCTCATCTCTGCTTAAGTAGTGGAGCTCAAGTCACCAATACCTGTAATTAGCATATAATTGGGCCTCACAACATGGGGAGGCATTTGAGGAGCTTTCACAATGGCTTCACTTCTTAACGTTTGAGGTTCGAGGCCATTTGAGTGCTACGGTAAATCTGTGGCGTTATTAAGGCAAATCAATGTCGATCAATGTCACAATCCACAAAGTTCCACGCTTGCCAGTGTTGAGGTCCCCGTAGCCGCCCAACGTATTTCACTTTTGCTCTGTGCAGAACAACTTCCGTGAGCGAAACTGCAGCCCGCATTAAGAAAACACATGTTTCACGTGTCAAGCCGTCAGTTCTGTCACCGCTCTTCTGTGTGAAACTTTCCCAGACTGTCGTCAAACGGTCAAATTGTTGTCTGGTTCTGGAAGGGTCTGTGTGTGTGTGTATGTGCGCGCGTGTGCTTGCACAGCATCAGCTCTGCAACGATCATGGATGAATGTTGCTTCATTGCAGGGACTGATTTGCTCCCCTGCGGCTTGTAGTAAAGCCCCCTGGAGACACAGCTTCTGCCCTAAGCAGAGAACACACACACACACACAATCAAACTGTGTTCTTTTTGCAAGTGCTCAATTTTGGCTCCAACCAGTTAGCCAAAATAAAACGGGATTCACTCAATTACTCACACGCACGCGCTGCAGAGATATGCTGATCCAGCTTTGTGTTTCAGCCAGAGAGGCGCCTTTGCTGAGTTTCATTTTATATTTCTGCATTGAGTTGATGTTCTCCTTCAGCAGCTCAAAGTGGATGAGACGGAAGCGGTTAATAAAGGTTAATCTTCCTCAGCGGCTTTCACAGGGGACTAGACTTGAGACAGTCTCGCTACACTCAATTTAGCGAGGTCCCTTTATACCACTCAATCAGCTAAACCCCTACAGTGACACACACACACACACACACACACACACACACACACACACACACACACACACACACACACACACACACACACACACACACACACACACACACACACACTCACAGTCACATGCGTGTAGTAACAGCGGAAGGGACATGGCTCCGAAGGTCATCCGCTACACAACATTCCCAAAGGTTTTGATGACTTTCCGGCACCCTGTTGACTTATAAAGCAGCAGCCTCTCAGTTCCCTGCACGTCAGCATAACAATCCATGTGCTGGGGGTCGACATGGGGAGGGATCGGGTTTCAGAAACGAAGAGAAAACCATGTTCATCGTGTTTCGCGTGAAAAGCCTTCCTGAAACCTCTTTTGTCACCAAAGCCGAAGAGTTTGCTCGACGGTAAACTGTGACGATGTAATGCCAAATCAAGCTTCTCCTGTAAATACAAGCTTTGTTCAATTGTGTAAGGTTTATTTAGTTACTAGTCGGAATATTTGAGTTGTAGTGGGATACTTACAGAAACTAATTTCAGTGCTGGTTAAAGCTGATGAACCGCTTAAATAAGTTGAAAGAAATCTATTCACACAATATACTGTTATATACACTCTATTTGGAGACAGATTAGAGAGCATCTTACGCTCCGAACAGAATGAGATCAACCTGAAACACTTTAGTGGAGGATATTAAACCTGCCTCCTAACGAAAGACGTCCGAATTGGTGCTAAAACCCAACACAAAACCAGGCAGATTAACGTTTTCAGACCTCTAAAGGAATTACAAGCATTTGTTCCAAAGAGAGGAAAGGATCTATTTACCTACAACAACGGAACATGTAGGGGGAAATAAATGGCGTCTGGTGAACTTTGTGTTGTCTCAAAAGGTTAATGAGGTGTGTATTTGCTCACTGGGGACGACACAACGATGCTCTTTAAGGAAACGGAGGCGTTGAACGCCTGAGGGGCCACCATGACGACACCCCTCAGATCTCATTATCGGGCTTATTGATTAGTCACGGCCATCTGCGCTCCCGCCAACACACACACACACAGACACAGACCCTGGCCACACACTCACAAAAGCAGAAAAAAATTAATAAAAATTGCCTTACAGGAGCATTACGCATGCACAGGCACAATCAGGGATGCACAGACACACACACACACACACACACCTGGGAAAATGACACACTCACCATCGTTAGGTCTGTGATGTACTTGCAGACACCCACACAGTCGCTCCACAGAGGATGAACACGCACTTCTACTTTAAAACATATACACATTTTCAGCCCCTAATGTGAAGCTGCCATTTTGTTCCGAGAGAAAATGGTTTTAATGAAAATTTGCCAAGAGATGCTAGAAGTACGTCCAGCTGGGTTGACGATGGTCTGCCCACACTCACTCGCTCGCTCGCTTTCAGATGGACAAGCTGCCATTTGTTGGCCTCCGCCGAGAGTTTTGATGAGATTATTTCAAACAGAAGCAATCGCATCATTTGCATCGTTTCCAACGGGACACATTTTCAGATTCCAACATCCTGCCAGTGGTTGATGAACCACAGTGGGAAAATCACATCGCAGTCATTAAAAGCGAGGGTTCGTTAGGAGCATCGTCTTTTACTCCTTGGCCAGAGAAAAAAAGTTCCAGGATGTAGTTTGGCGTCACTCCTTTATCAATTGCAGATCAACAGTGGGAGTGAGTCTGTGGGGACCAAAAGGATCACGGCAATGAATCGTATTAAGGCCTCTCTTAAGGTACAACCCGTCGTTTACCACCTGCTCCAACGCTGGAGGCTCTGACCTGCTCTGCTGGGAGCCCGGGTGAAGCGACTGGTAATAGTAGCACCTGGCAGTGGGTTGGAGGGGTGCACGGAGGCCACCTGTTCTCCACGACTTGAGTGGGAGGAAGGCGGGGGGGCAGTTGAAGAAACGAAAGGAAGAAGGGACCAGGTTTCTAATCAGGAAGGAATATGAGTTGAGGAGAGAAATGAAGTGGACTATGTGGACCAACGTCTTATGAACCAAGGGGGCGAGAAGTACATCTTGAATACTGATTTGCATTTTTTGCAGAGTCGTTCAAAATGAGCGTGAGCTTCCTTGATAAGCTGCACGCACTACCGTTTTCATGGGGATCCAGGCAATCTTGGTTGGTCTTTCAATGAAGGAGCCTGTGAGGTGTGAAACAACATGCGTGAGGACAATATGGTTGTGGAAGAAGTGAAAGGGTTATTTTTGTGAGATCACATTGAGTGTGAGATGCGCTGTGGATATTCCTGCATCACAGGCTTTGTTTAACAGGATCATATGGGTTTAATCTTTATATCAATCTCACTGAGGCACATGGCTGGAATTTCTTTACAATGGGGCGCATACATAGTATAAGCTTACCGCATTTGGATTTTCACACTCTGGTGTAAAATAATCAGTTTAAGGTAACACGGGCACAATACATATGTACATTATATAAACAACATTTAATTGCTACTTAAATGAGGAGAACAAATTGATCAATCCAGGGCAATCTTAACCGACGGTAATATACCTCAGTCTGATCCTTTGCTTCCTTATTTGTGCATATCATTTAAAAAAAGACAGCACGAGGCAATGCACATGGGTTTGAAAAGATAGAGTTTTAAAAAGAACCTCCTCAATCGAGTAAATTATTTTCTAAACACACATAATTACACAATAAAACACATTTTGAAGACAAAAGCTACTAGAGCTAAAAATAAAACAGTTGTAGAGTGAATTCTTCTGACCACGCCTTTTCCCACCTGAACCTCCTTGGATTGATTTACCGTCGCTGAGGCCACCTGTGATTGGCTGTGCGCCCTGGGGGGCGGTGCAGTGGGGGAGGGAGGGGGGGCAGAGTCGCGGGGGCAGCTTCACCGTCGTGTCTCCTCGCAGAGCGACGCTCAGCATCTGCAGCAGCAGCAGCAGGAGGAGGAAGAGGAAGAGGAAGAGGAAGAAGAGGGGAGACGAGCGCATCACAAAGTTTGAAGCGGCAGGTTTGTCTAATATTCTAACGACTACTTCCAATCGCAATATATCGGAGAAATCAGCAGTTAAAGCAAGCTCGAGAGACGCGTATAAGAGACGCGAAAATGACGTGCGCGTCTTTTTTTATTTGACACATTGCCGCGTGCGAGTGTTTGTGTCGAACTTTCCAAGTGTTTCTCTTCGCAGTTCAGTCCAGTGTGTCCGTTTTTTAACTTGCTGGTACATTTCTATTTAGAAGACCACGTGCACCTGTAAACGTTATTTTATTGTGCTGTGTGTCCAGACATCACTACCTGACAGGTACTGGGAATCACTGTACCGAACCCGCTGACTTTGATTTATTTGAAATCACCAGGTCGCCACATCATGGACCGATGTGCCATGAAATTACTACAATGCTCGTGTGGTGAGAGACACAATTCCTTTTCTCCCTTTTAGCTCCAAGCCTTCAGGAAATGAGCGTTGCATGGCCCTGCTGAGATCGGGTGTGTATGAGCTCCCCATCGGTCATTAGGATGGCACGGACGCAAATACCCAACAGCAGAAAACGCAGGAAATCAATTTCAAACTGGCTCATTTCCCCACATAATGTATTTTGAATGTAATCGCTCGCTCAGGTTTGCTGCTGATGCTGATATGAAAAGGAACCCCCCCCCCTATAAGCACTGCGTTGGCGCTCTTCTCGCCTTTGATCGACTCCTATTGGTCATAGTGTAATTTGATCAAACTCCGAGCGGTGGAGGTTGTTGGCTTCGGGCCACTTACACCGTATCATTTATCCACCAGGACTCTGAAATCGGTGCCAGACGTTGAAGGCGCCACCGCCCTCCCGGCACCTTCCGTCCAGCCGATAAATAATGAAGCTTGTCTTTTTAACAGTAATGAACAATCAAAGCTTTCTGTTATCTACAACGAGGTTGCCGAGCGGATGCCGGAGGTTCGGTGCTGTTCTTTGACCGGTTTCAGATTGAAATGTAAGCAGCACGTTACCCCTGGTGGAAAAGCAAGAGACTTTTACCCGTCGTTTTGTCTGTGATGGACAGTAGTACTGTAATAGCACGCAGAGGCCCTCTGGCACGCCGCTCAATACAACATCAAAAGCTTGGATATAGAGGCGGGACGCCTATGAATGTGAAGACAGAGAAAGGGAGGAAAAAAAACTGTACGTTAAGGGGTTTTTGAATAATGAAAATGACATTTTGTATTGACCCCTCTCATTTTACCACTTGTGATGCGCACCGATCGCCAGGAAGGGCGTCGTCAGTGTCATCATGTAAATGACCTGTAACGGGAGGAGAGAGAAGACCCTCGAGGGTTTACCCACAACAACCCTGTCAGCATACAGAGTATTCCATGGAGCACATTAGTGAATCAGGTTCTCCACCTGTCTCACTCCATCTCCTCCTCACGTTCCATTTATTATATCATTTCTTTCTCTATTGCTCACCGACGTGGTTGTTTTATCAAACTGCCCAGGCTTGTCTGGGAGCAGCGGTGACAAAGTAAAGTCACTAAAGCGTCTTTTGCTGCGTCTTTTCCAAGTGCCGTAATTTAAACCCTGCGCAGCAGTACGCTTCAGTTCTTAAATTACTTTTTCACGCTGAAGCATAAAGAAAGAAATCACTCGCACATTTTGTGGCACTTCAATGTATTAACCCTGAAATAATAGCAATGTCACAGTGAGCGTTATTCGATTTAGCCTTGTGTAATGCGGCGACGTAGCGCATGGGGTCATGAACCTCCTCTTTGCCGTCCCAAGGGGCCGAGCACTAAAGCAGCAGGAAGGTGGAGAGTCTGGAGAGGAGTCATTAAGGGCCTTAAAAAATAACAAGCAGGACGCTCCAAAATGTTGCATTTTTTTTTTATTTAATGTTGAACATCGGCCATCAGATATTCATTCTAAGGCCCATTGATAAATGAATTGTCGTGTGAGCACCAGAGAGCCCCTTCGACCCCCGAGCAAGTCTGTCAACTCACCTGGAAATACCCAAAGAGGGCCGATTCACCCACTGGAATGAAATCTGCTGATGGACCATGACGCAAAGAGTGCAGATAAGCCCTCCTTTCTTCTTTTCCGGTCTGCGAGGCTTTGGGCTTTCTTTCTCTCTCTCCTCCTCACTGTGAACCTCCACTTTAGCGTAGGTGATGTATCGGCGTCTTTGTGAAGACTTTTCTTGTGTTTGATCCGCGCTCAGGAATCCAGTTGTCAGAGGAGGGGGGGCAGAGCAGTCTGCAGCACCCTGCTGAGGAAAGTCGTTTCAGCTTCAGTGTTGCAATCAGCACTTTGCCGTTGTGGAGTATATTTAAAGGTCCAATTCTTTTGCAAAGGTGGACAGGATTTACTGGGCTTATGTTGTATTTTCACATTCATGGCTGCGTGTGTTCTTGCATCGCTGAGTGAAGAGCATTGTTTTACATCCTGGCTCAGACGTCTCAGGTCATTTCCCTGTACCGTCTTCAGCAAAGTTTCAGCCTTTGCTTCATGCTGAGTGTAAACCCACCGCCACCTCGGTTTTGAACAAGTGTTGTGTGGGCGGGCCGTGTGATATTCACGGCCTGGTGGACTGGCTGCCACGGGCTCCGCGCTGTCCCTCTGGACTTGACGAGAATGGCTGCTTGATGGAAGGCAAGTGCTGTCTTCTGACTTTAAGAGTGCTGACATTTCTATATCCCACCTCCCCAAAATCTCCCCCCCCCACCCCCACCCCCCCTCTCTCTCTTCCTCTTACTTCCCAGATGCTGATCTGATTGATGCCCCCCTATTCCCTGTGCTCCCCGGGCAGCTGTAGACCTCTGCTCTGTCTGGATGCAGACGTGAATCACAGGGATTACCATTCTGCTCTCCACCTTTCCTCCATGCTTCTATCCTCTCTCTCTCTCTCTCTCTCTCTCTGCTTCCCCGTTGCCTGTTCGCTGTCCTCACCTCGTCTGACATCCTCCTTCTACCTCACCGCCAGGTCTTTCCTGTCGGTGTGTTGCACTGTTGGCCACGGTGACGGCGGCAGGGGGTCTCTCAAGGTGACTCATAGGGTTGGATGTACCGTGTTAGCTTCCCTCTTTCTCACTGACGCCTTCTTTCTGTTCTATTTATTGCATTTTTTCTCCCTAAATTAATAGAGAATAATCCTTGATATGCAATTTTGTCTTCTCTCTTTTTTGAATGCATTTTGACTCATCCGACCCCCGACCTCCTGGCCCGTCACCACGTTGTCCTAATCGTTGTGCGAATATGTCATGCCTGGGATTTAAGAGTTGGATGTCGAATGCGGGTGGATGTGATTCGCCTGACATTTGTTAACCTTGTGGGACGGAGGTCCTTTCAAAACAGCGGAACTAAGGCGTGACAGGGGGGGAGAACGTTGCAAGGGATGGATCGAAATTACGGTCAGATATGACTGAGTTGATTTAGACGGTGGTGGTGGAGGCGAAGGAAGAGAGGAACGCGGTTTCTTCTGCAGCCTGTCAGCATGGGTGAGTTAGATGGCCGGAAGCGACAAATGCGTTTCAGGACAGTCGTTCCCTTGGAGTCAGCCCCTGAGGTGCTTTACCACAGGAAGGAAACAAATGACATTTAGAGCTTAGAGAGTCGTGACTCGGTCAAATACATTTTTGCAAATAGATTTTACTCTGTGACTGTGTGCATTTAGTCTTCTTTTATTATCTTTTTATTGCCGTTATTATTTTTCCCGCGATGCCAAGCTATATTGAGCAGGGTGCAGCAGACCGAGCAGATACGAGAGTTCTCAAATAAAGGTCTTTTCCGCTGGTGGAATGATGACCCGAAGTATTGTTGAGCCTGTGAGTCATAGAAACATTCCGGAAAGGTGCAATTAGAGCGTAAAGTTATTGGAATCCTGATTTTCATGAGAATGACAAAGGTTAAGAAACGATGTTACGTATCCCACAAATGCAGAATGTACTGTATCTTCTATCTGCCACCTCAGAGAAAAGAGAATAGATTTGACTAAATCCTCACATTTAAATTCTGTGTAGCCATTGTTGCCAAATTCAAAACTAAGGACATTGTATAGAATCCCAAAGTCAACCAGACTATGAAGTAATGACTTTTATTTAAGGTCCAATGCAGAACTAAGGGTAACCAGAGAACAATGAAGGAGCTGATTGGCTGGGAGGAACTATTGAGGTAGATTCAGAGCAGGTGTGTATACAGCCTTTGGCAGCAGAGAAGGACGCTACATTCTCACAGCTAAGTTTCCATTTTAAAACGCATTCCGTTTGCCGTGTGTACGACTCCTGGAAAAACAAGGTCACAGTTTGTGACTTTGAGAAGATGGAAAGAACACAGAGTGCTTATTTTGTTCTGCACATCTGTTGTGAAGTTGACAAAGAAACCGTAAATGAACAAAAGCATAAATGCTTTCCAGCAGGACAGAGACTTCCAGCCTCCTCGGCGCAATTACCTGTGAGAACAGATGACAATAAACTCCAGGAGAAACAAATGAGACATTTCTCTTATTTACAAATTGACAATAAGATTCTAATTTGCTCACTTTAAATTAAACGCAATGTTTCAGGAAATAAAGATCTTAAGTATCGTTGACAAAATTTGACTGAAAAAAAGATCCTGCATCCCCCGAAAGGGACAATCGAAACTGGCAATGGATCACCAAGGCCAGAAAATAACTGATTTCAAACTAGGACCAAAAAATGACCAAACCTGACTGACAAAACATAAGAAAAGGCATAGATGAGGAGGAGGCCATGACAGCTGCCGTTAAGGACCAACATGGAGAATTGATTTCCTCATAGCGTTCCCCAGTGGCACGCAGACATGCTGGTGCTTTAGGCCGTCAGGTCGAGGGACGCAAATAACCAGGAGTCAGGACAGGAGTAGAGGGGAGCTTCCTCCTCCTCCTCCTCCTCCTCCTCCCCGATGTCTCATCCTGCTTGGTGTTTTGGGGAGAGGCGTGCATCGGGCGACCTCATCGGGGCAGACTTTCTGCTCTGCCGCTGTACCTCGTTTGTATTTAGGTAAATCGGAGCTCGTCCCGAGCAAAATGAATATCTAAAATCTTGATTACTTTGAATATTGATGCTGGAATGACCTTGACTATCCTAAACGTGCTGATGGAGAAAATAGACTTTGTGTTCCTCTGGGCCAGTGATCAAATGATAGATTGTAGGTACCTTCGAAGATGGAACGGCTCCGCTGCGTTGAGAATCCCGAAGGGCTTTTTTTTTTTCCTCCTCTGCTCCTTCATCTGTGTACAACTGCATTTGTCTGTCGCTCCGTATCTCCGTCCCTCGTCCCTCCCATTTCTCATGGTTCACTAACTTTCGCCGTGAGTTGATGTCGGCCACTTTTTTGTCCTTTGAAAATGCCAAGCAGCGAGATCCATACTTCAATCCGATGAGGAATGAGCAGTGAGAAAGTGCACGTGTTTATGACAACGTACAGGTTCTAGAAGAACGCATCAATATAAAGTGTACTGCCCTCTTTGTTCTTTAGCTGGCTCATTTTTTCAGTTTCAAAAGGTCAGCATTCCTGAGTGCTTTCCACGCCCACAGCTTCTTATTTGCATGTACAAGTGAAGAAAAGGTCTCTCTCTCTCTCTCTCTCTCTCTGTCTGTCTTCACATCCGTCCCTCATGCACAAATACACAAGTGTGCCCTCGGAGCCAAATGCCCGGTCGTGTCGGAACAGCAGAATATTTAATTGCCCAACTTTATCACCATTACTGTAGCTGCTGAGTGTGTGTCAGCCTGATTGTGGCGGGAGCTTTCTGAGGAGACGCTTGCCTTGGGCTGAGATGCTGGGGAGGAATTACGTCGCGGACACCTTTTCCCTCTCAGGCTACGTATCCACAAATGTTTGTTTTGTGTCAATCCCTTCTTTTAGAAGACGCATTAGGAACCTTAGGTTAAGTCAGATGGAGTCCCCCATCTTTCCTGTTTAGCCACAGACACACAGCAGCCCCCCCGAGGGGAGACACATCCACCCAAACACACAACCACAAATCACAGATCAGTCATCGACACGGCTTAATTAATGGATGCTATCAACCCCTGTTTTTGATAATACGTTCAGTTAATGTGTTCCTTTAAGCATTGGATTACCGTGCAGGGGGAAACCCACCTGAGCTCGTGGAGCTCATGCACCCCCCCCCCCCCCCTTCCGCCTTTTCTCCAGGTCTGCTTTATCTTCATAAGAGTTAAATTGGAACGGGTTAATTCAATTTCCAGCAGGCGAGGGATCATCTACCGTCCCTCTCACTTTTTTTCTTTTGCTCGTTCCGCTTGTTCCCTCTCTCCTCCCTTTCTCCTTGTTTCTACGGTCTAATTACTTTAGAGAGTTGCTCCGGCTATAAATAATGACAAATCAAGGCTGTCTCTGCGCTGACCCCTGTGGGGGCTGGTTTTCTGTGTGCTTGAGGAAGAAAGACAGTGGTTCCCCACTGAAGGGAACATACTGTCCTAGTCACAGCCTTTGTTTTAATGTGAAATTGGTGTGAGGATCCATGTGGGTGCACGAGGGATCGGAACAGAGCAGTTTTACTTTTTCTTTTCCTAATTTGGCACTGCAACAGAAAATAAAACTTCTCTCCCGCATAAATGAATTAATGTGACTTCACAGATTTTCCCTTTTCACCCAAATGCAGCTCAGATGTGAAAAATGATCCGTACTAGAATAAATGTGTGTGTGTGTGTGTGTGTGAGAGATAGCGGGAGGTGAGATGAGGGAAAGGTGACACCCTGGAAACCTAATTTCTCTCTGCTCTCTTCATACCATTTACCATGATGAGTTCTGTCAACGTTAGCTGGATCAATGGCTCTGTGAGGAGGTGGTGATAGTAGTGCCGTGGTTTGTGTGTGTGTGTGTGTGTGTGTGTGTGTGTACGTGTGTTTGCGCTCTGCGTTTAAGTGGATCTCTGTGTATGTAGAATGCAATTTGAGGTAAGGAAACTTTGAAGTGTGTGCTTTCCTCCTATTGTTCTTTTAAAAATAAATGCACTTGCATGCGTGTTTGTGTGTGTGTGTGTGTGTGTGTCCGTTTAAGGGCTTTTTGATGAAGACTGACGAGTGTTCGCTTCGCTTCCCTTCCTCTCCGGGGTCTCAACGGTGCTTGGAGGAAGTGTCCTGGAGAACAAATGGAGTGGGCGAGAGCTAGGGTGAGCCGGGCAAGACGATGGCTGATGGACGACAGCGTGTGCGGTTGTGTGTGTGTGTGTGTGTGTGTGTGTGTGTGTGTGTGTGTGCGCGCGTGAGAGCCTGATGGAGGGTGATGGTAGGAGCGAGACGTAACGAGCAAGGAAATAAGCTGAGCAATCGCTGTGTGTCTTCCTTCTGCCTCCCAATGACTTATTCACACAGACGCACACCCACGCACACACGCACTCACTCACACACACAACTTGGTAGTCCATGACTAATAACTGACCATTGACTCTGCAAAGGATTCTTCTTTCCATGTTAACTTCCTTTTTTATAAAATCCACAATATTTACATACATTACCATATGTCATTGTTTAAATAAATCAATATGAGATACGTAATATTAATGGTGTACCTACTATTGTATTAAATTAGGCATTTCACTATTTCAAAGGGAACAAATGCTTTCTTTGTCGAGTCCATTCCTTCTCTTCCTCAGTCCATTTATCATCTACTCTCACTATCTCCGTGATGAATTAGTGAGAGATAATGGAGAAACACCGGCACTAAATAATTACAGGGTGGTTAGGATCAGAGAGGAGGTTATTTGTGCACCTTTTAGCCGCTCCTCCCACATTCAACATGGAAATGATCAGTGTGTGGAGGTTTCGTCAGCAATGTTCTTTTTTGCCCACTTATAGTTCAAGAGTGTGTGATTACTGTGTGTGTGTGTGTGTGAGAGTCAGAGAGGGTAGATGACAGTCTCATGGCTGGATTAGACTGGTCTGCCTGCATCACTGCAGTGTTTACCTGAGTCCACGTTTGCTATTGTTCACGGACTAAGAACCTTTAATTGCTTTTTATACACGCAGAGACATGCTTCGATTGGTAGGAAGCTACTCGCTCTCAGAGGAGCAAGAAATGGAATACAAAAGCATAAAAGTGTAAAGGTGGACTGCTGAACCACGTTCGCCCTACTAAGCTAAAAATGTTGCAAACGGCTTAAAGCTGATGATAAAAAAAGGCTCACAGCAGATGATAACGGTGGGAAACGGTTGGAGCTGCAGATGTGACTGTGTCAGCTGTAACGGTGTCCTTGAAAACATTTAAAAGGTTCCCCGACCTGTTTTTGGGCTCTGCAACTCGCATCTGTCAGAGGCAGCGAGAAGCTGAAACACACACACACACACACACACACAGATGCAAACACACAAAAGAACACAGAAGTGCACATTCATTCAGGGTGCAAGTGCCGCTTCCCTGGTGTGTCATCCTGCTGCCAGCTCGAGTCCGGTGCACCAACCGCCCTGGAGACACCGGCGGCTGAAGAAGCAGATAGAAAACCTTTGAGAGAGAAAGGGATTTCACTGTGGCCATGCGGAGGAGAGCCAGTGGATTTTGTGCCAGCGAAACCCTCCTCTGTGCCGCTGCCCGTCCACCGAAGGGACTTGTGCCTTTTCATCCGTCTTTTCCAATCTCCCTTGTTTTAATTCTCACATTCCTCTGCTTTGTTTCCGTCCTACATCCCTATTTTCTATCTATTGACCATTGTTCTATAATGCCCCCATCCATACAACAACTAACTCACTTTAAATGTGCACCTCAGATTATTTTATTTATTTAAGTGTGTTTCTCTCTGTTTGCAGCCCTCTCTTTGCCTCCTCTAAACATCTCAACCCCTAAACACAGAAGGCTGAGCAAGAAGAAAATGGTTTGCATATCGCTTTTTCTCAATCGTTCGAAACGTGGTCCTCCAGGGGAGACTTGATTTTTTTGATTAATAGTGAGGCTACACAACACTTAACAACAAACAGCAAATTAATGAAGGGGGTCAACAATTGAACAAAAGGCCCAGTGTAACAGTGCCCTGACGAATGAGGGTGATGTAATGCAGTATCGCTGTTTATTCATTACTGCTAATGTGGCTGTAATGATGACCATAATCAGCCTACTAATTGTGTGTCATTACAGAGGATGCTGGTGCTGTTCTCCCCCCACAGATGGCTAATGTAACTGTTACTTACCGAGCACGATCGTGTGATGAAATGAGGAAGGCATTAATAACCACCTCCTTATGCTCCACACGAGCAATAATGTGTCCCATAGGAAGCGCTGTGAGATGCGTGATGTTTTCGAGGAATTGACCCACGTGAAAACGAGACGTCCTCATCAGAGCTTCATCGGGGATGATTATCCCAGTGTTTTTCTGACCAGATGTCTCTCGTTCCTTTCAGCGGGCGGAGCTGCAGTCCCTCGCTGGTTGCTCGACATAACGAGGAACAACTGACGACACCACGTCTGTTGACGTCGCGCTGTGTCAGGTCTGCCGAGGAGATCCGTGACCCCCAATCCGCTTCCGGTGGACTGAAGATCGAAGTGGACGAAGCTTCTTTTCGTGCGACTGACAGTCCACCTAACTTCTCAAAACCTTAAATTGTCTTTCTTGTTGCTGCTGGACTTGTCAAGAGAGGCAGATTCTCAGGACCTGTTTTAACATTTAGCGGCTGTGAAGCGCTTATCCCGCTACAACAAGCCGGTCGTAGAGAGACACCTTTGTGTTAGGCCGACACCACCAGCAAAGGTGATGTACTGTTTTGTTGTCAGGGGCATTGATCCACTGACCTCCTGATTTAATTGGCCACACAAACACACACACACACACACAAACTGACAGACACCCGGTGTTGCTGGCAGATAGCTTTGTGTCCGACTCCGTTTCATTGACACAGCACCCAGACACATATTTACCGAGCTTTTACCCGCTTGGGTGTTAGAAATCCATCCGAACACCATTAACTCCCAGAGGGAACTCTGACCTTGAGTGGGATCAGACACATCGCGGGGTGTTTGCGTTAGCAGGAGGCAGCGTCACGTTCTGCCTGCTCCGATTGACAGTGACGATGAGAGCTGATGGCAGATTGGTGGCAGATTGGTCCTGGTAAACATAGTCATGTGATACGGGTCATGTCACCTTCATCGACCTAGATCTCAATAAACTGGCCGGCAGAGGAAGATATGTGTGCAAGTTCTGCCGTAATCAAAAATAGACATCTTCTACCTTCGCTTTCTGACGCCACAAGCCCTTCGCGCCCCAACGAACGGGAAATCAAATATAAAACATGTTAAGTTGTTAAGCACTGTAATCAAACCACCTAATGAACAAAAAACTCATCCTTCTCTGCACCTTCTCCAAATACACCAACCACCCACTCAGTGTGTAAGTCCTGCCTACGGGCCCCTTGGAGGATGAACGATGTGCCCACACTTGACTACGAGTTGCTGCTGTCCCCGGCCAGCTCCTCCCTCCCCGGCAGCCCTGGCGGCGGCAGCAGCAGCAGCCAACCTCTGACCCTGGTTGGAGTGGACAATGAGCAGCGCACAGCCTTGGCCTTTGTAGGCCTCCTCATGCTCTTCCTGGTCTTCCTGTTGGTCAGGTGCTTCAGGATCCTGCTCGACCCCTATAGCCGCATGCCCGCATCATCTTGGACTGACCACAAGGAGGGGCTGGAGAGGGGCCAGTTCGATTACGCGCTGGTGTAGGTTGATGTGTGAAAGAGAGAGTGGAAAGGGGGATGTTTTGCACTGCACATAGAAAGAATATTTAAAGAACATCTAGATGACGTAGGCGTCGATTTGACCCATTCGTAATATTGGGACTGCATTATTTGCAAGAGGATGCGCATAATGCTAGTGTAATGCCTGGTTTATATTGCTGTTTAAAGGCTTGTGTGCTGATGTAAATATGAGGCTGCCGGATGTGAGCATAACAAAGTCTGGTTCAGTAAGAGGCACACATACCACCGGAAACCCTGCAAGACAAACTCACAACTGTTGAACAGGGAAGGACAGAAATAACGAGCTGCGCAGCTGCCTTAACCTGACCTGCTGTACCCATTAAACACGCTACCACCTCGCCGTAGGGCCGGGCCTTCCAAACACCAAGGTCAGCGTTGCTCACTACATGGTTTGGTTTTTGGTGAGAATACTCAACACGCAGTGTAAGGGAAGGAGTTTACACTTATTAAGCAGATGCCCCTTTAACAAACCTAAATCCGTATTAATGCTAGTGTTCTGATCAAGGAGCACGAGTCAGCACTTTTCTTTTGTTACTTTGGACACTGATCCTGGAGCAGCCGTTTCAAATGCTTGTTAAGAAGCAGGTAGTTTGAGTCTCCGTACAACTTTATCAGTGTGTGTTTTGTGTCCTACGGTGTCTCTGACTGAAAAGCCATATTGAAAGTATAATATCTTATTACAGCCAATAGAATTTATGTTCACTGGTTGTTCGTTTGCTTTAGTCAGCCTGCCAGGTGTGGTGATGAAGCAAACGGCAGCCTTTAGTTAAAAGAATGCTTTATTTTTCTATTCCTGACTCAAGTTTGGGAGTCTCGTCTTTGCTATTTTTCTGCCCTCTTCCTCTCATCGTATCGATCTTTGGACTGTGGATTTTTGAGGTAGCCACAGTATAGTTGGAGGCAAAGCAGGTAGCTTTGCTTTTCTTGTGTTTTGTAATTAAATATTTTTCTGACTATCTGCTTTGTTTTTTTATACAGTGCAAATTTAAAAAAAAAAGAATTTTCTTCCTCATAATTTCCACAAAGTGGTGGACTGATTGGAAAGTCCACATTGTTCATGTTGAAATTAAATAAAACGATTACTACTTCTGTGTCACAATGTGTCACATTTACACACAAGCCTTAGAGAAAATAATTCAGGCCACAACACTTAAAAATATACCCCACAATACTTTATTGCCATTAATGTCACTGGACAAACGTTTACAATGTTTTGTGAATCAAAAATCAATTTTACAGACTGACATATGTGTTATACATCTTTGGTTTTCAACTGTAAAAGACAAAAAACATCCAGCATATTTAAAGATGTTCCATGATGGCTGATTGATTTATTGATTGTCAGCTAATAGATATGGTGTGACTGGGTGATTGTCATTCCAGCTTTTATCTTATGCTGGACATGTTAACTACAACAGGCTCCTTATTTCTAAACTATAAAGCAAACCTTGCAATGCAAGCAGATGACGATGACGACAGTTTCTTTTCAAGTCTGACACTGAGGCTGAGATACAGTAAGCACACACAAAACGCTGCCTTTTTTTTAAACATGGTGGCAGAAAAAAGAAAAATGACAAACTGAAAATAAAGATAGTACACAAAGGTTCCCAGGTAAGAAAGATGGTTATGTGTTATAAACATTACATAGGCTGTGGGGCAGTGCAACCTTTACTGTTAAGACAAAAATGATGACAATGGTTTTGGTGCAGGCCACAAAGAGATAATCGATGATGGGAATGTTAATTACTGTTAAGTCTGATGTGTTCTGGTTTAATTTGCTGACAACCCATTTTTACCGGTGACAGTGGTTTTGAACAATACAAACAAAAACATATTTGCGTTTGCTTTTGTTGGTTCTTGCTTCTTTTATTTCTCAGCACATAAAAGCCTTTGATTTCGGGTTTACTGTATGCGTTCGTATCGGCAGCCTCGGCATTCACAAAAACACATCTACATTTCACTTAAAAATATACAATTTCATTTTCAAGAAGCAAGTTTCTAAATGTTGTTTTTTCAGCACTGAGACAATACAAAACACAGACATACACAATGAACAATAAATCCTCGGAAAAAAAAAAGAAGTAAATTTTGCAATCCCGATTCCAGACTGCACTTTCTTTGTACATGGTAAGAGATGGTAACAACTAGCACCGCTTTTCTCTTTGAGAGAAAACACATCACGAGAAATGAAGGACGACCTGATGGATATTTGTTGTGTTGTAAGGTTGCGTGTTCACCTGTGTGCGCGCCCCTACGCTGTAAAGCACTACCTTCGGTTACAGCTTAGGCTAACATGTCTTGTTCCTTTGAGACCGTTTCTCAAGTCAGCTGTGTGTCTCTTTGCGTTGTAAACGAGGCTCGGACGCTCAGGCATCAAGCTCAAGTCATGAAGTCAGCTCATGGTCAGCTGCAGCTCTGTTACCCTGAAGCATTTGTGATCCGGGGTTCGTTTGAACAATGCAAAAACCCAGGAGTAGCTACACAATTCTGACAGCCAACAAGAGGAAAAAGCTTTGGACTTAAGGAAAAAGATGGCTCTCAGGTCCAGAATCAGTGCACCTGAAGTCTTAATCCCTACATGGATAAATACAACTTGACCTGATTGATCTTCTTTAAAGTCTACGAGCTACGAGCTGTTATATTCCCCTGCTTCTGATGCATGCTGAGGGCTACTAGCCCCCCTCTTTTGTTTTAAAGCATCACAGCATGATGTGAGAATTACTGAGGTAACCAAACATGACAGCACACACGGCGCAAACACGCTATCGCCTGCTTGCCGCTGCTTGCGGGCAGGACGGAAGTCAGTGACGTCGGAGAAGAACACAGCTCGCTGTTCTCTCGTCTGAAATTGGTTGTCATCCAGCTTTTGAAAAAGACCGCTATGGACCAAAGAACCTGAAATGCTGTGTAAATGTTGCAGTCCTTCGTGTTAACATTTTTCAAACAGCACAAATACATTAAATGACACACGACAATACTGAGAGGGGCCGACGTGACAAACCTTGTCCCCAGTGTTGTGTATTTCTTCCTAAGATTACAGAGAGGTGAGAAAGTCCTTGAACCACTGCGGCGGCATCTAACCCCTTAAATTAAGGCGCGATATCACTTCTTTACAACACTAAACAGAAACTTTGCTTTATATCCTGCGTGTGAGTTGATTACTACAACACAAGTTGCATTGAGACAGTTCTGGCCACTCTCAGCACTTAATTTATGTTTCTGTGTAATTCCTAGTTTTGTGCTTCATGGACTTGTGAACCACCTTCCTGTCATTTTGTCTTTATTAGAGGGCTATGGTCCAAGCACTAGGGCACCTCTCTGCCATCTCCTCCGCTGGCTCTCTCAATGGAGAATGGGTACTGGGTCAGATGCAAGTGGGGAGGGAGGGGGGTAAAAACCAACAGACAGACAAAACAGGAACATATAATAACATAAACAGTAACAAAGTGGTGGTAGAGTTGGGCTGATTGACTCAGTCTTTCATAGCCGTGGATTACTACCCCTGCTGTTGAGGATGGTTCGTCGGCGGAGGAGTTAATCGGATAAAAGGGAAGGTTAAAACTCAAAGGCTGTAGGAATCAGTCCAGAAAGGGATCGCGAGCGCAGCCCGAGCTCAGTGCAGGTGGATGAGGAGCTTGATGCGCAGGGCGTCTCCCATTTCCCCCTGTAGGTAGTCGCTGTCGTGCTGCTCCTCCAGCTGGTGTAGTCTCCGGGGGCCGTACAGTCGCAGGCTGGCGATCTCCAGCCGGTAGGATCCCGCCGGGGGAAACCTCTTGCCGAGCCGGAGCACGCTCTTTCCGTCGCGTCTTTCCAGCAGGCGGAAGTGTTCCTTGGCGTTGCCGTGGGTGATGACGTAGCGCACGTGGTGCTCCAGGGGCTGCAGGGCGGGCAGGAGCTCCAGCAGAGGCTCCTTGTTGTGCAGGGAGGCCAGAGACAGGTTCATGGGGATGGAGGCCTGGGTGTCTATGCTGGCCATGCTTACTGCTGGCTCCTTTAGTGAGGAGAAGAAGCAGAAGGGATGAGATAGCAGAATATTCAAACGCTTGGACTTAGTCTCATAGCCAAGGGGACAAGTACAGAGAAGCGGTTCGTCGAAGCGGTTACCTGGTTGAGATCGTTTTCATCAGCATTGCGCTTGTGTCGCCCGTTCTTTCCTCCTCCGTTGATCTTACACTCGTAGCAGGCCTCAGGAGACAGACTGTCATCTTCATCGCCCTCCTCAAACTGGCCTGGGAAACCTGAGCCCGTCATGCAGTGACTGGATGAAGAAAACAGGAGGGTTCAGCGTGTTCATTAATTCGTTTGCAAAACTCACACACGTTCAAATGTTTTCCTTATGGTCAGATGGTGCCATCACAAATTACTCAAAAAGTGACACTAGTGTTCTACAATCTGGTTAACTCCGGGTTCCCTCACCCCTGTCCGGCCCGGTAGAAACCTCCCGGGCAGCCGCACTGGTAGCCCCCGTCGGTGTTGGAGCAGCCGTAGATACAGGGGTTGTTACTCCTGCTACATTCATTCACATCTTGGCAGCCGCCGGCGCCCTGCGCAAAGTCAAAGCCAGACGGACACACGCACTTGAAGCTGCCCAGTGTGTTGTAGCAGGAGGCGGAGCCACACACCGTCGAGGCCTGACACTCGTTTTCATCTGTGGAGGAAAAGGCAGCAGAAGTGAGTGATGAGAACCCAGCAGTACGGTCTGTATTATCATGAGATGATTATCTTTTGATAATAATTATATTCAAATGTAAAGACAAAGTGCTTTCAAATTACTTCTGAAACAATTGCTTTAGTATTAATCTGTTTGGTTTCATGTATTCCCTCTGAACAGTACTTGAGAGGTTTTAGTTATACAATACAAATTATTTCAAATTCTTATATACAGCAGTAAACATTTATATATATATTTTGTATTATCAAATAAATAAATAAAAATATGTATTTTTGATTATCATGACTAAAAAGGAGAAACTCGATGACAGGGTAGTTGAATTTATCCCTATCAAAGTTTCGCTTACATGTGTGAGAGGTTTGTATTTGGAATTATCCTATAAATATATTGATCTATTGTAAATCAAATTAGAACATATATTATTAACTTGTTGCTACCTTAAAATACTTCCACTGGAATGGATCCCCCGGATCCTCTTTACTGCACTGTACTGGTACCTTTTGTGTTGTTCATCACTGTGAACATGAACAGAACAGTGTATCACTCACCCACGCATTGGTTCCACTGGTAGTGCTGCACGTAGCCCTGAGGACAGCCGCAGCGGAAACCTCCCATCATGTTCTGACAGCCGTGCTGACAGCGATGGTTGCTGCCACACTCGTCCACATCTGAGGAAGATGAAAATGACGGCTTTTAATTGCAGACAAAATATCATGATATTGGAATCGAAAAGGTCTTTGTGTGAGAGAGCTCCTGCAAACTGAACGTGAAGGCCGCTGTGTCGTCCTCACCCTCACACTCCATGCCTGTGTTGTCCAAGGAGAAGCCTTTACTGCATTCACAGTTGAAGCTCCCAGGCGTGTTGACACAAGAGGCCCGGGAACCACAGCCGCTGTTCTGAGCGGAACACTCATTGTTGTCTGAGAAGAGAAGAGGAATGGATTTGATATGAGTTAGAAATGCATTTTCGGTTGTTGTTTTTTTGTCTTCCTTAATTCTAATATTTTTTCCGTGGAGGGTAGAACTGTTGTCTTCCTGTGTTGTCCTCACCGATGCAGGCAGTCTGGTGCTGCGTGAAGCCGGGGGGACACTTGCAGGTGAAGCCTCCAATGGTGTTGACGCACAGGAATTGGCAGTTATGAGTCTTGGTCGAACATTCATCCAGATCTAGGAGAAAAAAGAAGAAAGCACTTAACATCCACCAGATTACACAGAGGGAGGGAACTTCAGAGACATAGAGCTTGTTAATATAGAATGACATGAGACCGATAATTATCCTGTAACACGGAATAATAATAACTAGGACACATCATTTCTGCAGATATTTTGGTGTGAATGCCTGCTGTGGAGACGTTCTGCGTTCTGTTGGGCTATTATTTTGAAAAGCGACCTCATCCTAAGCTTCCTGTTAAGATGCGATTACTATTTGGGGGATAGGAATTTAAGGGTTATTGGGATCAGGCAAGTAGGTCCACTTGAATATGAAATGAATATGAAAGTCTGATCTGGCATGCAGAGGTGACCAATAAAGGAAAATACTGGTTTAATATGCTAGAATGTTCTAATCATTGTTTTTGGTTGCAGCATTTTGAATAATATGGACCCTTTTAGTGCTGTAACTGTCTTTATAATGTTTCAAACTCCCCAGTGATTTTGTGGTTTGACTGGATTTCAAACTCAAGCTGCATATGAACCTGAAAATGTGCTTGTGTGTCTCTGTGTGTAGAACTGCACCTATTGGCTCATCTCAGTCAGCTATGTCTCATCCAGCAAGGCAATTAAAGGCTGCCCTGGTAATCGTACCTGCTAAGTGACAGTTATCAGTTATCTCACAGACGAGGTAGAGAGTCGAGGCTATTGCTTTTATTTTATACTGTGAGGATTAGGAACCTCCTGATAAACTGACGCTTGAAATTTGTGTGTGTCAAGTCTGGAATTTGTGTGTGTAGTGTCAAACATGACGAGAATGGGAGCAGGTGAGAAAACTCTGAGAAATGTTTGGCCTCAGTTGACACGAGGCCACATGCAGTAGCTGGTTTAAGATCATGTAACTATTTGGCACTAAAACACCATCCACAATTTCTACATTAGCCATGAAAAAAAAACTTAAACTTAAACTGCGTTGAGGGTAACAATAAAACTCATATGGTAAACTGTCAAAAATAGCTATTAAAGGCTAACACACATTACAAGTCCACCCACCTTTGCAGGTCTTTCCATCGGGCTGCAGGCTGTATCCTCTGGGGCAGGAACAGAGGTAGCTGCCCTCCGTGTTTTTACACAGGAAGTTACACGGCTTCGGAGACAACGCGCACTCGTCCATATCTGGAGTACGCGGAACAGGGCAAAGACAGACAGCTGTTCAGTTTTCATGAAACCCGATGCCTTTTAAACCAAACTGGCCAGTAACAAAGAGAGATCATTAGCAGGACAGAGATCCGCCGTACCAACGCAGGAGGTTCCGGTGAAGTCGGTTTTGTAGCCCACGTTGCAGTGACAGCGGAAGGATCCGATGGTGTTGATGCACTGGCCGTTCCGACACAGATCCGGCATCACCTGGCACTCGTTGATGTCTGAAAAGGAGGCATTTTATGAAGTAATCTTCATGAGGCAGGCCTCTTGCTTGCCAAACAAACAGGCTTAGTGCCTCGAGTCGGCACTAAGCTGAGCTCACGCTCGCTTCTCGCGATGAATATTTTTCATCGATTGATTACATCCATTGAAATGAATTCGACTCGACACACACCTCTGCCGTCGGTGGTGTAGCCGGGTCCGAGCGGGCACATCCTCTTGTACTGCACGGTGCCGGGCAACGGGCAGAGCTCGCACTGGGTGCCCCAGCCTCGGCCCGTGTTGCAGCAGCACTCGGACTTGGTCACGCTGTTCCTGTTAGTGGAGGACTGCTGGCACATGGTCTGCAGAACCTCCGTGTAACAGTAGCCCCTTCGGTTGTCTAACGGAGAGGATAAAGGGACGTGAGGAGGGCTCGCGGTTATGGGCGCCTTTGACCCCTTTGACCGGGTTCAGCGCATCTCACCAATGCATTCGGTTCCGGTGGAGCTCGACTCGAAGCCGTCGTTGCACTCGCAGCGGTAGCTTCCCACTTTGTTGACGCAGCGTCCGTCCTTGCAGATGCCAGGCTTGGCCCGGCACTCGTTCAGGTCTGCCAGTAAAAAAAAAGGACAGGAGGATGAGGCGAGGGGCGAAGGACCGTGGATGACCGGCCACATTGGCTGGAACATCTTTACTCACCCATACATCCCTCTCCGTCCGGTCTGTGCTGCATGCCAGGAGGGCAGATGCACATGAAGGTACCGATCAGGTTCTTGCAGGTCATGCCCCTGGAGTCACAGTCGTCCAAACCCTCAGAGCACTCGTCTTGGTCTGGTGAGGGACAATGGCAGAGAGACAATCATAAGCAAAACTCACAAGAGCCTGCGGGAATTTAAGCTGTATCGTGTTTCAGAGAACTAATGAGTGAGAGATTAGAGACGTCAGGGGTCGAGGAGCGTTAAACGTGACACATTTCTGTGATTAAAGCTACGCTTCTCTCTCACCTCTGCACATGCGTTGGTCATCTCGCAGCACGTAGCCACCGGGACACATGCACTCGTAGGAACCAAAGGTGTTAACACACCGGAAGGCACACAGCAGAGGATTCTGGGAGCACTCGTTGATGTCTGCAGCCAAGAAGAGGGACAGGTTCTTTAAATTAATTCACTATGATTTCACTTGTCTGTTACTGTGTTAATGACTGACCTTCACAGGTCATCATGGATCCGGGTTCGAAGCCCTCCTGGCACGAGCACTCAAAACCACCCACAACATTGGTGCAGGTTCCGTTTCCACACGGGTTTCCTATAGAGCACTCGTCAGCGTCTGGAGAAGAGCAGGTATAGATACAGCAGGCAATTAAAACCAATGACACATCTTTACTGTACCTGAGACTTAAAAAGCACTAATTAGATGCTTGAATTTTACTCCAAAAATAGACCACGCTGTCATGCAGGAAAAGGCTGCTACTGGTGATAAAAATAACATCACACTGATTTCATTATATATCACGAGGCACAGGAATAAAGTTCCTTAGAAGAAGAGGAGAGCTGCAGTTTTTGATTTTTTGATTTTGATGTCTGTAAAACGACTCGTCTTCCATGATTCTAATGTTGCAGTTTGTTAATATCATAAACCATCTCACCAACACAGTTGACTCCAGTGTAATCCAGGTTGTATCCGAAGGGGCATTCACAGCGGAACGAGCCATCTGTATTGATGCAGATACCATTCTGGCAGATTCCTGGATTATCCAGACATTCATTCATATCTAAAAAAAACGAAGCAGAAAAAAATAGCCGTTTTTTTAAAAACATATGAAAGATGTCCACAATCGTCTGGCAGGTTCGAGCTGTGAGTTTTAGCCCGTACCCTCACGAGCATCTCCCGGTCCAGGTAGGGCTCCGTGGCCGAAGGGACACAGAGTTCTAAAAGCAGCTGGAAACATAGCAAAAAAAAGAGGTCAGGTTCATTTTTTTTACTAATGTCTTTGTGTGTGTGTGTGTGTGTGTGTGTGTGTGTGTGTGTGTGTGTGTGTTACGCACCCTCGCTCTCGCGTGGGCACAGCTCACAGGGGAGTCCCCAGCCCTCTCCAGGCATCTTGCTGCAGCAGCACTTGGCCTTGGTGTTGTTCAAATATTTAGGGACGGAGCATTTTCCTGCCTCGAATTTTGTAAAACAGAAACTCTCCCTGGTATCTGCAGCGAGAAAAATGATGGACAGCGACTGCTCTGTTATTCACGGGACAAAACACTCCTCCACCACCTTAGTAAGGGAGATCAAATATGTCACCTTCATTCAGGGTGCAAATTAACAGCTTCTCTCACCGTAGCAGCGCCGTTTGTTTTCAGAGAGTACGAAGCCCGTCTGGCAGGTGCACTGGAAGCTACCAGGGGTGTTTGTGCAGGTGCCAAACTGACAGATGTTAGGCTCCACCTCACACTCGTTGATATCTGGAAGGAGAAGGAGTAACGGAGGTGGGAAAATAGTGGTGGTGTATTTGTAGGAGTGTGTTAGAACAGATGGCTAAGTGTATGTGTGGCTGTATTCATTACTGAAGCTCGATAATTAACTAATGTGTGTGTGTGTGCAGGCAGGTATGTTGTACCTATACACTGGTCATTCTGCACCTCGTAGCCAGGAGGGCAGATACATCTGAAAGATCCGTCCAGATTCTGACAAGTTCCCGGAGAGCAAGTGCCAGGTAGACTCACGCACTCATTGATATCTGGGAAAAATGGCAAATCGGAAAATGTCAGTTCATGTCTTAGGATGTCAGACAAACTGTAGTGTGAGACATTCCATTAATACCCCGTGACTCCAGCAACTTACCAACGCAGTTTTTCCCATCCGGGGTATTCTCATAGCCCTCGTGGCAGAGGCACTGGAAGGAGCCGAGTCCGTTGATACACTGTCCGTTCCTGCACACCTGGCCCTGGAGTGCACTGCACTCATCCACGTCTGTGAGGTAAACATTGGGAGATGTAAACTTAAATGTAGGCTTTGACGCTGGCTGTTGTTGACCTCCGCAGGGCAGAAGAGTAAACGGTCCACACCCATGCAGTCGTTGTTGTGTGTGAGCTCAAAGCCGGGGAAGCAGAGGCAGTTGTAGGATCCCACCGTGTTCTTACAGGTACCGTTGCCACATGGCTGTCTGTCACACTCATCGATGTCTAAAATACGCAGAAGGGACAATATTTAGACTCAATATGCAGGAGTGAATGAATGTTTGTGCACTTCTGTGTTGAGCTTCTCACCCATGCACATGGTCTGGTCAGCGGTGGCCTTGAAGCCGTTGTGGCAGAGGCAGCGATAGCTTCCCTGTGTGTCGATACATTCTCCATGGCTGCACACATTGGGAATTTCCTGGCACTCATTACGATCTGAACAAAACATTTAAAAAAGGTCATACAATTTTGAAAATGCCCATTATGATTTCTCAATGCACGTTGAGCTGTCTTTATAGTAGCTTGTTCTAACTATTGTCAATTTGTCATTGGCTCTTAAATGCAAATCACAATATTTTCCTCATAACATCCTAAACACATTCAGCCCAGCTCTCTGGTATTTTAATATAGGAAACCTCAGTCAGGTCCGTCGGACAGGCCACACTCACCCAAACACGCCCCGCTGGGGGACAGTTTGAAGCCGGGCGAGCACTCGCAGCGGTAGCTGCCTGGAATGTTGATACAGTTGGCGTTGCGCTGGCACAGGTTGTCCCCGCTGTTGCACTCATCAATATCTACGCGGTGAGAAGATAAAAGAGAGAACCACGAACATCAATCACAGGCTCCATGACCTGTCTGTCATCAGCGGGGGGGGAGAAAACACAACAGCTCCATTTGAGCTGTGGTAGAGTTCGGTTGCCGGTCAGTCACTGGTGGGCTCCGGTCTCTGTGATTCAACGTCCAGCCAGGGGCTCAGAGCCATTACACTTGTCTTTACAAGGGCATAACTCATGTGGGGGGAAAGCAGCACTAACTCCACTGAGTGGACTGCTTGTAAAAGTGCCTCTCGGCGTAACCTGCATTTGTGTTTGATTCAGAGGTCGTATTAGATGTGGTTATCTTCCCTTGCGTCACAGTGAGAGGAAAGAAAAAGAGAGAGGGTTTTACCTTCGCAGATGAGCAGTATGTTGTTGTAGCTGAAGCCCATTGGACATTCACAGCGGAAGCTCCCGATCTGATTGATACACACTCCACTGGCACAGATGCCAGGGATTTCCCTGCACTCGTCAATATCTGAACAAAACAACACCACGGATTGTTATGATGCAAACTGTACCTCGTCACAGCACCACTGTTGTTTCTCATTATTTGACCTTACCGATCGGCTTGCCGGTGTGGATGTCGATGATGAAGCCAGGAGCCATGTTACCACACAGTAACTGGTACTCGTCTAAGAACCGACAGGACAAGAGACAATTAGATGATTCGAGAGGCGATTCGTCGTCTTGGAACATTCCGACTCTTCCCTCGTTTATCGAAACTCACTGGTGGCGGGAGTCGGGCAGGCCTCACACGGCTTGTTCCAGGCTTTTCCCACATTGTAGGCACAGCAGCACATCTTCTTGGTCATGTTGAAGGAAAGCTCGTTCTCACACGTGTCGTTGAAGTTACGGTAACACACACTCTTCCTCATGTCTGCATTTCAAAGAGGAGGACAATCCTTTGAGTCCAAATGGCTGAGAAACGGTCAATGCTTTTTTAGTTTAAGTCATGACAACTATTTCCCTGTAGGTCCCACTCACCCATACAGTTGTTTCCTCCATTGACCTGCATGTACTCGGGAGGACACACGCAGGTGTAGTTGCCCAGAGTGTTGTAGCAGGTACCTGGTCCACAGATCCCGATGTGAGTTGTGCACTCGTCAATATCTGTATACAAAGATGTGATATTAGACCATTGAAGAAAAAAATTGAGGTGAGAGCAAGTTGTTAATTGTCAAAAAATCCAGTGTGATTTCTCCTGCAGCTCTTACCCTCACAGATGCGTGTCTCCTCATTGAGATAGTAGCCTGCTGGACACTCACACTGGAAACTACCAAAGGTGTTAATACAGTTGCCACCTTGGCAGAGACCTGGCAGCTCCTGGCACTCATCAATATCTAGAGGGCAAGTCCGATTGTTAGTCAATTCTAAAAAAGGCAAACATTAGTGCTATAAGTCTCCACTGGTGGCAGCTGCTGCTGCGATCGATATTTCAAAGCGAGGCCTGATGAGTGATTCACCTTCCAGGATAACCGTGATGGGGTTGGGTCTGAATCCTTCTCCTCCTGGACAGAGAGTCTTGTATTCCGCTACAGACAATACGCAGTCAAGTTAGTGTGATTCTCCGTTTCAGAGTGGGTAAATCAAGGTGATTGACAGGCACGTACTGGAGTTGGGGCTGGGGCACAGTTCACAAGGGTTTCCCCAGGCTCCTCCCTCGGAGCAGCAACAGGACGCTCGGATCACACCCACGCCGATCTCCGCGCTGCAGGAGATTCCTCCGTCGCCGCGCCAGAGAACCTCCAGGTAGCAGTTGCCAACACGGGTGTCTAGGAGAGGGGAAATATTTGCGTATCGATACACGGGAGCGTCCCTTTCGTGAAGAGTAGGTAGGCCAGCTTTAAGTGGGACTCACCCACGCAGCCCACTCCCGTGGGGTTGAGCTCAAAGTCGGCTGGGCAGTTACACAGGTAGCTCCCGGGAGTGTTCACACACAGCCCGTTGATGCAGTTCACGGGGTCCGCACACTCGTTGATGTCTGCAACACACACACACACACACACACACACAAGCTCAGCAACACAGGCCAGAAAACAACTACCTTTCTGGAATCTATTAACCTCCAAGTTTATGTGCTGCTGTAAATGGAGCAACGGAATACTTCTCTCACATGTCCCAAACCGAATAGTTCAAAGGTGAAAGGAATGAAAGGACGGAATTAGATGTGTCTCATTTGTTTGGATATCTTTTGTCAAAGATTATTCATTGGTAATACAATGCATGATCAAAGTCCGTTATTGCAAATGAAAAGCTATTTGAGTCTGTTCTGTGTCTGAACTATACGTGAGTAAAGGGTAAAACTGACCAGTGCAGTTTCCTCCGCTGCGGTCCAGTTCGTAACCATCGTCACACACACAGCGGAACATCCCTGGAAGGTTCTGGCACGTTCCAAACACACAGATGTTTTGGAAATTACACTCATCGATGTCTGTGGCACAGGCGGCACGGAGAGAGGGGATGTCAGTTACACCACGGGAATAAATACAACCGCCGAGAGAATAAAATGTGACCGAATGAGTGAGGCACCTTGACAGGCCTTGCTGTCTTCTGTCGGAGTGAAGCCCATTTCGCACTCGCAGCGGTAGCCGCCTGGAGCATTCAAACACTGTCCGTTCTCACACAGGTTCACGTTGTCTGCACACTCATCCATGTCTGAAACAGAACAGACGAGTGCATTTTAAACATGCGAATGGAGTCGCTCTCCGCAAACATTAAAGTATGATTTATGAAGAAAGTTTCAGCAGTCTTACCAGAGCATGAAAATCCATCTCCATTGAAGCCGCTCTTGCACGTACACCTGTATGATCCTGGTGTGTTGACACAGTCTGCATTGGGGTTGCAGTTGTGGTCCTCTAGAGAGCACTCGTCCTGATCTGCAGGAAGAGTGAGAGGAAAGTGTTGTGAAAGTTATACTTTGTGTCAGAACTGCCTAAAATGACGTGGCTCGTTGTGGTTATGTTGTACGTTGTTTGACTTTGTATCATGTTACTATCTTGTCGAAATATGTACTTACCCACACACTTGATGCCGTCTCCCACCCAGCCGTCTCGACAGCGGCATTTAAAGCTTCCGGGGACGTTGATGCACGCGGAATGCATGTCGCAGTTATGAGCCTCGATCTCACATTCATCAACATCTGGCGAGGTGTACAGATCCATTAGCCAATACTTCAATCAGGCAGTAACACACAAAAAAACCAGACAGTTTTTGTGTAAAATGCTCCTGTATCAATGGAATGCAAATGTATTAGTAGTTATTTTAATATCATACATATACACAGCCAGGCCCAGTGTACCTGTGCAGCCAGTGGATCCCTTCTTGACAATGTAACCCAGCTGGCAGTGGCAGATGAAAGAGCCTTTGGTGTTCTCGCAGTCGCCGTGGAGACAGATGTTTGGGTTCAAGTCACATTCGTTCACATCTGGGAAGACAGGGTAGGGCAGATTATATGTGAATGTTCTAACATTCAGAGGTTAGATTGACTCGATAATGGGTCTGACGTTGAGGAAGTTCAACGGATCAGCTCAGAGGAAGCGAATGAATGAATACATTTTGCCCACAGGAAAGCCATTCATATTCAAAGAATTGTTTTTTCGTCTCACCAATACACGTCCTCATGTCCATGGAGGCCATGAAGCCATCGTAACACAGACAGCGGTATTCCCCCGGAATGTTGGTGCACTGGCCTCCGTCACAGATATCTGGAGTTTCCTCACACTCATCAATATCTAATAGAAAAAGCAGAACATGCATTTCAATGGGATCGGTGTTATTCTTTCATGGGATGTGATGGAAACATGATGTCATTGGTGCATTCCTTCATAGTCACACAGATACGGACATACGGAACATATCATGTGTTGGATTACCTGCGCAGGTCCTTAGGTCAGGCATAAGAGCGTAGCCCTCACTACAGCTGCACTCATAGCTGCCCTCGGAGTTGGTGCAGTGCGTTTCGCAGCCTCCGTTCATAATGGTGCATTCATCAATATCTGAAAAGACGGTCCCGATAACAGTTAACATCTTGCTTTCATCACATAAGCAAGTCAAGTAGACAAACAGATCCCCTTGTTAGTTCATTCCACTCACCAACACAGCCCTGTCGGTCCGGAGTGGCCTGGTAGCCCGTGTCACAGGAGCACTGGTAGGTCCCCGGCATGTTGATACACTGGCCATGCTTGCACAAGTTGTCACTCAGCTGGCACTCGTTCACATCTGGCAGGACAAGCAAACGAGTTAGGCAATATATATATAGATATAAAATGTTGCACTTAGTACGTAGTTTCTGGCTGATTTCAGTGCAGTAGCTCTGAAAATACATTTGGCATAACATGTGATAACACAACGTGAGCCTGGGTGTGTGTTTGTGTGTGTCTGTGTGTGTGCCTGTATGATTCACCTTCACAGGCAGAGCCATCGTTGCTGAGTGAGTGTCCGGGGGGACATTCACATTCATAACTCCCTTCTGTGTTCAGGCAGGTTCCTCCACGGCACAACAGGGGATTTCTCTCACATTCATCAATGTCTGTCCGCCGAGAGGAAGACGGTAAAAAGATGGATGAAGAGTAGAAATAGATGAAAAAAAGAAACGGGAAAGGAACATTAAAGCAGTAGAACGTTTAGGTGATCGGCCAAACTGGAATGCAATTTCAAATGAACGTTTCTAACTCACCCATGCAGTTCTTCATCATCATAAAACCGCTCTCGTATCCCTCGAAACATTCACACTCAAAGCTGCCGGGTGTGTTGACACAAGCACCGTGACCACACAGGTCCGGGGAGATGCGGCACTCGTCGATGTCTGAAAAAACAGAAACGGTCACTAGCCGCTCACTTATTGTCAATGTTTCATCTAGTTTGAGTAAACTTGACTAGTTTTCTCGCACCCGTGCAGTTCCTTTCCTCTGCGGTCAGAGCGAAACCGTTGTTGCAGCGACACTTGAAGCTGCCGATGGTGTTACGGCAATTTCCATGTGTGCACAGGCCCTGGAACACCTTACACTCATTCACATCTGCGAGAGGAAGAAATACAGTTAAAATGGCCCTGCAAACCAAAAAATACACAACTAATTCGACCAGAACATGGGTTTTCTGGCTTGTTTTCCACTCTCAACATAGGATTCTACCAATAAATGTAACTAACGTTACTCTGAATGAGTTGAAAATCCTTGTCACCTTTGTAGAACGGCCTGCCGGTCAGAATTTCTCCTCTGTTGGCAAAGCCGGGCCCTCTGGGGCAGATGGCTTTGTACTCGGCGGTGGCTGGTTTGGGACACTCCTCGCAGTCGACGCCCCAGGCCGAACCCACCGAACAGCAGCACATGTCGACGCGGTATCTCCCCGGCAGCGGCTCGCCGCACTCGTCCTCGTGCCACTTCAAGTAGCACTGCTCACTACGCGTATCTGGAACGTTCGGGGGAAAAAGTCCTGAGTTTTGTCCTAGTGGTTCATTGACATTATAATCTCGGGGGAAAAGGACGGTTTTTCGATGTCTTTGCGGCGCTGCGGCCGTCTTCTTACCCACGCATGTGCGTCCGGTGCTGTCCAGTGTGAGACCCTCGGCGCACTCGCAGAGGAACGAGCCCTGGGTGTTCACACAGCGGCCATTTGTGCACACTCCCGGGAACACCTCGCACTCATTGATGTCTAAAGAGAGCGGGACGTTTTAGGAACCGGGATCGAATTACATCGAGGCACAACGGGGACGACAGAGAAGATGATTTCTTGAGCGCAGGACGAATGAAGCAAAACAGGTTTGTCACTTTTCATCAAATGATGAACGTTCTCACCTTCACAGACGAGGCCCTTCATACGTGCAAACCCTCGAGAGCAAGCAGTGTCTGCGCGGACATGACAACATTAAGAGAGGGAATCAAGACATGTTATATATGAGCGCAGTATGAAAGCACACATATTAGGGAGGTATCGGTCTTAAATTTAAATCTGTTATACTGCTTTCTTGACCGATGCAACCAAAAAACAAATTTGGTCTTTTATTATTTGTATTTTGTATTTATAATGTACTTAGTATCTTATGTGCAATGTGAATTTTAAACAGTGATCTAAATGTTGCTGGAGAGGCTACGTTTATCTTTGAAGGACTAAAACTGTGTGCAGTTTATCCTCAAAATGTTCAGAAGATCAAACAAGAGCAGGCAAAAAGAGCAGCGTCCCTGTGTGAGGACTGACCGATCTCGCAGGGTTCACAGGGGCTGCCCCAGGCCGCCCCCAGGGTGGAGCAGCACTCGGACTTCAGCGTGGCCCCGTTGATGTTCACCTCGCAGCGGTTGTCTTGTATCGTCAGCCAGCATGTGCTCTTCATGCTGTCTGTGGAGCCAAAGTTACAAAAGGGAAGACTTGATTGCAGAAAAGACCTTAGGAGGGTTTACTAGCAACCATTTAGTAAAGATGCGTTATTAACCTTAAACAAATGTTCCTTCTTGACAAAACATTTGCAAAGACATTTTTCCGCCTGCGTGCGATGGTAGGTACCAACAAAACAGTTACGTGCTCCTAAAACGATTACACAACAGCACGACATGTGGTAAAATCTCCAGATCTCCCAAGGGAACCTTTAACAATGGCAACAAAATACTCCACAAGCAATCAGCACGTGACCTTTAACTTTCCTCCCTGCAATAAAACGTTTGTGTTTGGCTGCACGCTAAACTTGTTGACGTAAAACCTGTGCGTCGTTGCACCTAAAGCTCTATCTTTACATTCCTTATGCACTGAGAGTGTGTATGGTCGTAACCATGAGACCACAAGGCCACCCAAACACCAAACCCCAATTCACTCTGCTCTTTTCTCCCAGCTGAGTGATGGGATCTAAAAACAGAAAGGAAGCAAACCAGAGAGCCAGCACATGAAATATGTGCGAGTGTATTTATTCTTTCTCAGAATGATTTTTCCAAAAGTAACAAACCATCAAATAAGTGGAATATTGAACCTCAGCACAGTCTTACATACCACATGCCATTTTGAATCTGCGGCAGATCGCTGTGATATAAAGCAATCCCCACGTGAACCAAGGCCGCGCATGCAAGTACTTTTTAATGAATTATGTGTGTGCCATTTTTGCCCAACATCTGAAGACGATAATGTATCTGGATGACTCCTGGAAGCCTGAACAACCTCTGTTTTGCTAAAGTTAGAATCCTTACAGGAAGACTCTACTGCCAACTATTCCCCATTGCCGCTCATTGTCTCCATGTGGACCAGGCGCTTGGGTGGAAGGACGTCTTACCCACGCAGATGGTGTTTGTGGAGTCCAGTTTGCTGCCGTGGGTGCACTCGCAGTTGAAGGACCCGGCCACGTTGCGACACGCTCCATTGATGCACGGGCTGGAATCGCATTCGTTGATATCTGAAACATGTGCAAACACACCCTTGAGGTCGAGGCCGTGGGATTGAACCAAACGGATCATTCTCATCCTTTTGGCCGTCACAAACAGTGAGTGCGTCATTTTTTCCATGAGCCACACGTTTACTCGAAACCAAATGCACCACGTCTGGTAATAACGTCACCTTATGACTACCTTGATGTTGGTAAAAAAAATATATCACATACACGCGAGCGTGTGTAAGAGCTCACCTTCGCAGGTCTCTGAGTCGGGTTTGAAGACGTATCCTTTAGGACACGAGCAGGTGTAGGAACCCGGAGTGTTTCTGCAGAGGCCGTTGTCACAAAGCAGACGGTTCACTAGGCACTCGTTGATATCTGCAAAATAGATGACGGTAATGTAAGAGGCATTCTTAAATAAAGGGCTGTCATTCAAATCAAGTGTTGTACTTTTAGCGAGTCAAGCTTTTTAATAAAAACGTAAGAAACGTTGACATGTTTCCTCACTTATTGCTGCTGCTGTGGCCTAACTTGGACCGGTTTGGCTAGTGTTAGGTAATGTTGACATATTTAGGTACAATTGAATTACTCGTGTCTCCGTGTGCTTGCGCGTTCATAACATTATTTTCCTGTATAACTTATTGCCACATAGGCGTAAATAAACATAATCGTAATTCTACTCCACTATGACTCACCAACACAGTTTTTTCCACTGGTGTCAGACTCGTAGCCGATATTACAGATGCAGCGGTAGCTTCCTCTCAAGTTCTCACAAATGCCGTTCTGACAAATGTCTGGGTCCAGGGCACACTCATTGATGTCTGAAGGAGGACAGGCATTTTGTAGAATGATACTGCTCAGAGGGTGTCTAGACAGCACTGTTTGGATTAATACTCATGAACAGTATACTCACCTCTGCCATCAGCTGTGATGCCAATACCACTGCTGCAAACCGCCTGGAACTCGGCTGAAAGAAACATTCATGTGAGCCGGGTTGCTTTTCGTCCTTGTTATTTTTACTAAGTAAACACGGATTTGTGTGAATGGAAATGGAAACAGTATGACGCTGATTGTACCTGAGTTTCTGGAGGGGCAGGGTTGGCAAGGCTCCCCAAAGCCGTGTTCAGCGTTGGCGCAGCAGCACTCCGACTTGGTCACTGCGCCAGGGAACGGCCGCGAGCACGTGCCCATCTTTATGGCGCCGTAGCAAGTGGTCCTCATGTGCGTGTCCACACACACTCTCCCGTCCACACCGATGGCCAGGCCTGGGGGGCACTCGCAGCGGAAGGAGCCCTCGGAGTTTATGCAGCGTCCGTTCATGCAAATGCCAGGAGTTAGACACTCGTCGATGTCTGATGAAGAGAGAGCACATCATGTGTCCACTAAATATGCTAAGTTTGTGAGTTCAGTCATTCGGAATCTGTCAGAATCTGAAAATGTCTTGTGTTTGAGACGTGCAATAGAGATTTTCAGCTACTCTTGATACTTGAAAACTCTTAGGAGACTCATACATTCATCCATTTATCTATTTCTGTACTTTCACCATGGATTAAAAGAAAGATTTAAAAGAAGTCAGTTTGGTCGTAAAAATAGATAACAGAAGGATTTCAAACAAAATCTGTCAACGCAGCAGGTCTGTATTTGTGTTAATAAATCCCCCCTACCGGTGCAGTAGCGTCCGTTAGGTGCTAAAGCAAAGCCCGGCTTGCAGATGCACTTGAAGCTGCCGTCTTCGTTGATACACATGCCGTTGTGACACATGTTGGTGGTGGCGCACTCGTCGTGATCTGGAGGGAAACAGGAGGGAAATCAGTCCAGGCCAGAGTTCGTAAAAAAGGGGAGAGTTCATGTGAAGGTCGGCCTGCGTTGGCTTCCTTACCGATGCAGTTCTTCCCATCAGGAGTGAGCTCGAAGCCGGCATTGCAAATACACTGAAAGCTTCCCTCTGTGTTGACACAGCGGCCGTTGCGACACATCACACCGTTCACAATGCACTCGTCAATATCTAAAGGAAGGATGGAGAGAGGAGGAGGATGTGGCTTGGTGTCTTATATCTTACCCCTCCAGTTATGAATAAACTGCAGCAATACGCATACACAAGAGTAATCTGGGTTAACAGTAATGTAGCTTGAAAGCACAAACCATTGCATGCTTGTTTGGTGGGGGTTCCGCTGAAACCCTCGTGGCACTTGCAGTGGTACCCTCCAGGGGTGTTTGCACAGTCTCCATTGATGCATGGATTACTCACGCACTCATCCGTATCTAGGGAGAGTACATAATTGACACTTTAGAAGACTTCCCCTGCACCTCCACTTGTAATAAGTTCCTTAAATCAGCTGAAGATGGCAGCGCAGGGCTTGGAAATAACTGCGGTCCTGTCACATATAGTCACTGTGTCTGCCTTCGTGACTGGAGGGTTATTAAGAACTGAGTACATAACATTTGTACAGCATAGAGCATGTGTATTACCGATACACTCCCCCCGAACATCCTGTTTGTAGCCCATGTTGCACTCGCATCGGTAGCTGGTGGGCGTCGGAATGCAGCGTCCATTGAGACACAGGTTGGTGAAATGTTTGCACACGTCAATGGTGTCGTTCACAGAAACGGTGCCTGAGAATACGCGACAGGCGCGTTAACAAAGCAAACAAAAAACAATACACTAATACATTTTTCCTACAGCGAAGTGAGCCCTTTGATCTTATTGAAGTCCACAGTGAGTGACTCACCTATGTGTTGGTGTCCTCCTCCATTGCCTCCAAAGCTTCCCCCGTTACCTCCAAAGCTCCCACCGTTCCCACCAAAGCCCACTCCGCCGTTGCCACCATTGCCTCCATTGCCGTTACCATTTGGTACACTGGGGAACTTGTATCCGTAGTTGTACCCGTTCCCGTTGGTGTTGGGGAAGTGTCCGTTGGGGTAGACGTGAGGGAGGCCGTGTCCTTGAGCAACGCCCACAATGCACAGACGCCTGAATTCGTCTACAAGGGGGACAAAGATCACAGAGAAGAAATCAGGCGATCGTTCTACTGTATTTGACATTTAATTTGCTTCTGGCCAAATGAAGCAAATGAAGAAGATCATATTCATAGGCTCTTAACTGCTAACAACTAACGTTCTTTGGATGACTTAAAGACCTACGGTGTAACACATTTGAAATGTTTCCATTGTATTGGAAATACATTTTGATGATGTTGAAGTTGGAGGAAAGCCTGACAAATTACATGAGAAAAATGTGCATGCATAACGATCAACTGCTCTGCTAAGCCTGCAATAAAAGTACGTATAGTGTATTGTTAAAGTGAAGACTTCATTCATAAATAAGTGGATGTATGCACTGCAGGCTGCAGTGTACATAAACGGTACTAGATATATTTTGTTCTTCAGTCTACAGTCAAACTAAAACACACACATCTTATTTTGGCGGGACAAGAAAAAGCAGCAGAACATCTTGTAACAGATGAGTTTTGAATCACACAATCTCACGCAAAGTTTCTTTTTAAGCTCGACCGAGGAGATGATGGGTCATTATCTTCACACAAATCTTTCCCAGCTTTTTCTGTTCAGTTTTTTCACATGACATCATGCTCATCAGTCTGAGTGGATACTCTTTCCTCGCTGCCACACAAACTCAAAGCGCACTTTTTTGTTTAGTTTAAAATCACAGTGTGAAACCAATTTGGCTTGTGAAACGCTTTTGCTGTCATGGCTTTAAGTACCGACTGTTCTCATGCCGAGTCATAGACAATCTATCACGGGGAGTTTTTCATCAGCAGAGGAAGAAGGTGATGGACTTTCTGTCCCGGTTTTAAATTAAACTACATACTTTTGTCGGGAGTAGTGTGTAAAACCTCTTTCCTCTGGTCTGTTCACACTGTTTTCACGTGTACTCACCGGACCCCCTGACGGGGCACATCTCGGGGATCTGTCCCAAAGCCCAGCAGCGTCCTGTGTCACAGCAGCACTGCATCTTGGTGTACTGACCGTTCAGCTCCGCCGCACAGCGGCCGTTAGCCAGAGCGGAGAAACAGGTTCCCACGCGCTGATCTGAGGGAAGGGGAGACGCGTTCACAGATATTGACGACTGAGCTCAACGTTATTAGAACTGAAGTCCAAGAAATACAATGTTTTTTTGGCATATTATCGTTCAAGTTTTCTACTTTATGGAAATATGAAGAGTTTAATTAATATGCAGATTGAAAATGTTTCCAATTTGTACTTTCATGTTACAGATTAAGATATAAAACTGAACTGTTTTCAGGATATAGTATTATATAAAGAACAACATAAATCATATAGAACAAATAACGAAAGCCGCAGGTCCTCGGTTTAAGTGGTTTAGACTCTTTGCTTGCGGTGCGTTCCGTGTACATCACTGTCAGGCGTCGTTAAATGTGCAACCGAGTGTATCGAATACCTCCCACCACTGAATGCTCAGAGATACGTTAGTCAGGCTGGAGACCGGAAGCTTTCCACCAAAGAGGGCAGTGAAACACCGGTTTTCAGCCACGTGTAAATCACTCTTTAAAGGCGGAACAATTACCAACACTGACAAAGCTTCATATGTGAGAAAAGGTTACTGGTAATCACTGCTCTTAAACCAGCAGTGCTGTTAACCAGCGGGCACGCCTGGCCTTTCCATGGTGGCTGGACTTCTTTATGGGCTCGCGGTGGGAATAGTTGCATGGGGTCTCAAAAACACTACGGGCATCTGAAGGGCCTCCAAAAGGGGGTCTTATTTGTTACAGTTTTCCAGGTCGGGGTCAATGGGGCAGGAAACAGGGGGCTTCGGATCAAAGATCGTGTTTAAGGAGTAAATTAAAAGGAAGAAATCAGGAAGTTTCTTGGCAAGTAAAATACCAAGAAAGGGGACAAGGCAGTCAGAGGGAGGTAATGCAAGTGTATTATTTTAGAAAGTGAGGAGCATGTGTGGAAAAGAATTTCTGAGTGCATAGACAGAAAAAGGGGGAGAAAAAAGGGGAAGGAAGAATGAAGAGAGGGGGAGCGGAGGGAAAGGCAAAAGTCGATTAACACACTAATGAGCCAGCAGTCTGGAATTAATCAGTTCCATGTGGAGCAATTCTTGCCAATTAGATAGAACATGAGGCACCGTGTCTGAGAGCACATATTGTACAGTTCACACACGTTTACACAAATACACACATAATTACACACAGATATGCATTCCCATACTCACCCAAGGTCAGGCACGCAGAACATGCACACAAACACATTTGTCCGCTTAAACAAAATATGTATACACACACACAAACGTACACACACAAACTCAATCTGCAAAACATCCCATAGGAACGACGGAGCTGGAGGCCGGTTGGGGGGAGAGGAAAGGGGAGAGAGAGCGGGGAGGGGGGGGGGGGGGGGGGGTCGCTGATAGAAGAATGATGATGGCCTATAATGGATTCCGACCCTGGTTGTCTCGCTAGTGTGTGCTCCCCAACGCCGAGCACATGCTATCATTTGACGAAGAATTTTTACAGACTGAATAACTGACTGGACTTCTTTTTTTAAACTTCCACCGTGTGTAATGGTAGTTTTCCTCACTGTCAGAGCCTGCAACAGCTCCCGCTGGCTTTCCTTCTCCCCGTACAGTACAGTACCTCCCACAAACACGGGCCAATGGCCTCATAGTATGAATTCCAGGACCAGAGCTGTACATCCTGCTTCTAAAACACGCGCAGCCGCCATAAAAGACATTTACTGTCTGCAGTGCACTTTGTGCTCGGGCCACAAAAAAGGCAGAGAAATGGGACCGACCCAGCTTTGCTGTTAAAGCGTGGTCACGGGGTTTTGGCACTGGCCTGGTTTTGTTATGGTTGACTTATCTCCGCTTCTGTCTCCTCCCGATTTAGATTGTCCATTTTGGATGCGGGACAGAGGAAAGATATATTAAGGTTTCGTCTGACACCTCTTGTATTTACACCCCCTTTCTCCCAAGGAAGGAGATGGGAAGGAGAGAAGGAGAAGGGAGGATTTAGAGGAACTGAATCCTCAAATGAAATAAACAAGGTGTCAGGGGAAGGATGAAAAAAAAAAAAAGGTCCCCAGGAAGCAGTAAGACAGATAAGGCGCATGGGAGTGCAGGAACGCTTCAGTTTTGGTAATAAATAGTTAAAACACAACAACCAGAGGAGACGGAACAAGAGAAAAGAACCCGACAGAGATGGAAACGTAGTTGAAGAGTAAATAAGTGGAGAGAAGGAGATTTGGGGCGATCCACTGTGCACTCAGAAAGAAACCTGAAGAGAGAGAGAGAAAGACGTCTCTTCAGGGCAAAGAGGAAGAAAAGGGGATAACAGTGGAAAGTTGAAAAATTTGGCCACGTATAACGGAAGACAGATGAAAAACTTTGGGGATTGTTTGATTTGAGCGCCACTCTCTCCCATGCAGACGCATTGGCACAGGCACACCAGGCTCTGTTAGTTCCATATCTGTTGTAATCCTTCTCACAGTATCTTTTACTCCTCTTTCCAATGCGTCACTTGTTTGTTTATGAAACAGGAACTCATTTTCCATCAGCTATTCACCCTCTTCTTCTTCTTTTTCTTCTTCCATGTCGACTTTTATCCTTTTTGTGTTCCCTTTTATATAGGCATTTATACACTTTAGTTTATGTTCAGATGCAGGAAAATAACTGTAAGGAAACATGTATTTTCAATATACCAATCCAAAGGTTTTAGTCCGTTACATAACTTTTTGGAGCAGGCGAGTTGAGCTGAGCATGAAACGGAGATCCCAGAAATGTACTATTTGTGCGAAATCTTGAAATAATGTACGTACACCTGGTTGTGTTTCACTGTGGCTGAGACCATGGTGAATATTTGGGAATACATTCACAACGGGTCACGTTTCATGGGACACGTCAGTTGAGTATGCACAGCGTGAGCGTGTGTGAATGACTCAGAAGGGCACTAACATTAAAGGAGATGATCCTGTCAAGGTCAAATAGTGCGTGCAAGTGTGTTTGTCTGCACATGGTGACCACAGGCCAGCTTGACTCATCAGGACTCCACTCACAGGAAGCCATGATGGAGGGAGGGAAGTTGGCGGCCAGATGTGTTGCTTTTAGCTAGCCGGGGGGGGGTGAGGAAATGCTCAAATGAGAGTGCTGGAAATCTGTTTATATGTATGTGTGTGTGTGTGTGTGTGTGTGTGTGTGTGTGTGTGTGTTAGACTCACCCACACATCTGGAGCCATCAGTGCTGGAGATGTAGCCGCGCGGGCAGGTGCAGACATAGCTACCGGCAGTGTTGGTGCATTCTCCTCCATCGCACACACCGGAGATGGTGCTGCATTCATCAATGTCTGAAACAGGGTTGCATGAAGAAATTCACATCACGTACGGAACAAACAGAAGCATCTACTTTGACCAATATGTGTCCCGATATGTGTCTGTAGGAGTAAATCGGTGGAACCCGGCATGTGAGGCCTTTGTAGTCTTTATTACTGCTTCATTGCCACTTTTGTCTGTTTTATTCGGACAAAGGCTTGTGGCATCTGGAAGGTTTTGCTACTTTCATTCATCATAGAAACAAACGGAAAAAGTTATCAGAGGAATTTAGCCCTAATAGAAAAATGAATGAAGCTATAACAACAATAATAAGTGATTGTTCTACTGAAAACCACTTGTACAGCAAGATAAGACAATAAAGCACACTTATGAGTCCCCCACATGTGGACAGAAACCGAATAAAAAGGCCGGGATTACAAGGAAACCTGCTGAGCACAGCGAATCAGCTGGCCATATTTAAAGATGCCACGGGTAGACTCATAAATGTGTACGAAGGCTGAGAGTACCTGGGTCGCTCCTTGGCGGGGCTGCACCTTCGGCATTTAGCTATATGATTCAGTGGGAGGGGGCCTCATTGCTCCATGACCGGGGAACCCAGAGTGGGGTTCCAGAAGGTATCGGCTTTTTATGATGTGTTACGCTTATTTATATGCATACGTAATTACTGCACCGCTGCGGGGCATCATTACAGCAATAGCGCCGATGTGGTGCATGATGTAATTTGTGTGCGTGACCTGCACCTTTAGCTGGAAAAGTGAAGGGTGTGTGTTATTGTTTGTCTTTCGGGGAGTGTGCAGCTTACATCCATGCGTGTTTCCTGCCGGGGGGGGGGGAGCTAAGAAGCTGGCGTTCCCCTGCTGACTCCTGTCTGACAGCAGTGGCAGAAGGCCCTATAGGTGAGGCGGTGAAAAGCCCCGCCAAAAAAACAACACGCCAGACGTTACGCTGCCCACAGAGGTGGCGTGAATTATTCGGGCGAAAAAACCTGCGTGTCACCTGAATAAATGTTTACAACCGAGCCATCAAGTGTGCAAAGTGTCAGAGCAACGGGGAGGTCCGCGTGTGTCATGAGAAAGTCCCCCAGGTGACGTTAAGTGTTCCTTTGTTCGTTACCAACAGCTGGTTTTCAGCCAAATGACTATATTTATGGAAGGAAAATGGAAGGAGAAGCAGAAAAAAAGCAGAAGGAGGAGGAGGAGAGGGGGGGGGGAGTCTGCTGAGCCCAGTCTCAGCTAAAAGCAGGCCATTAAACTAGGTGCCTTGTGCCCGAAACGATCAGACGCCCATGACATCTTAACTGCTCCAGAACCTCAGTCGTTTCATTGTGAAAGCTTGTGCTTGTGTGTGGCTTGTTTGTGCGTTCGCTAGAAGAGCGTTTCAACAAAACATCCCCCCCCAAGGACCAAGTCAGATTGTTTCAAAGATTTCACTAAACGTGTGTTTCCTGCCGACATGTGTTCCTTTGTTTTTTTGTCTGATTTTCAGTGAACTCTTTTGAAATAAAAATTGTATTTTGCATTTATATTGCCTTTTTTGTTTTAGATTGCAAGCACTCATTTGAAAGCGCTCGGGAGCTGTTCTGCTCACATAAAAGCTCACGCTGTGCATGAAGTGGTGGAAAGAGGCTGAGTGAGTGAAATTGAAGGTGAAAATGACCCCTGGGGTTAGAAAGGTTGTAATTTTACCTCGTCTCAGCGCGTCCTTGTGCTGGAATGTGGCTACAGCATCCACACCCAGATGTTTGAGCAGTTTTCAGCATCTAATTTTCTCCCAACTGTAAGTCCTGAACAGTTGATGGCCGTCACCCCAAATCCACAACTGTAGCTGGGACGTGAAGTCATCCCCCTTTCTTCTCTATCATTCACTGTGACATAAATCACTTTTTGGTGTGTAATTACTTCCTGTGAGTCCGACCTGGAGATGCCATTTTGTTCTGTATCTCCGGCATCTTTCAGTCACGCTACGTGTAAATGAAAGTAGACTTTATATGATGATTCTGTGACAAATACACTTCAATAGACCGGTTGGGTCTTCCTGCTCAGTAGAATAGATTTCATCTGGCTGGAACTGTTTAAGAGCTCTCTGTAATCCTCCCTAAAGACTAAGAACACATCGGCTTCAGTCCAACAGACACAACCCCTGCCTGGCTGACTTTCAGACTGTTTAGCCTGGGCATCGTTTAAATTCCATCCAATCAACACATTGTAATGTGTATCCACTCTGTGTGTGTGTGTGTGTTCATGTGCACACGTCCAGACCTCTTTAACTCTTAACATATTGTCTTTTTTTTAACAGCCCATTGAAATCTACTCCCAGGAACCCAAAGTGTCTCTTTCTAGTGAAAACTGTGTTTGAGGCCCAATGGACACTTGCTTCATCTACTTTAATAATATTATCCCCCATCGCTCACCTTCTGGCAATTTAGACAATAGTGACAGCGCATTAACGATGAACCTCTGGTCTCCGTGGTTTCTCTATTAACCAGCCTTCTGCTCCTCCGTTTGCTCATACTAGTTTCCTCCCCTCGGCCGTCATTGCGCAGGCTTTGCTCTCTGATCATGAAACGCATCTGTGTGTTAAAGTTCTACCCACCTTCACATTTGTGGCTTGTTTCGCTCTGGCGGTGGCCGGCGGGACATTTGCACTCGTAGGATCCCACGGTGTTGATGCAATTACCTCCGGCACAAAGACCTGGCACCGCCTGGCATTCGTCCACATCTGAGAGAACGACAGAGAGACATTGATGTTTGAGTGAGAAGATAAAGGATAAAGACTAATAATTACTGGCATTATTGATTTGAGAGATCAAGCATCCTATGGTATCTTAGTTATACCCCAGAAACTGCAAGAAAACAACTCAAACTAGCATCAAACTGTCAAAAATACATGTATATTAGTTATAATGCTTAAAGCAAATGTTACAGAATGTTTCGGATACACTTTCTATTGCTGAAACAGTCTTCTTTCTTCTTCTGTTCTAACTTGGCGCCAGCTCTGATGTCTAAGACCCCTTCCAGAAAGACCAACTCAAGCTCTCGTTTCAACAGGAAATGGCTTTTTAAATGTACGTTTTTTCCCAGCATTCAACGTGAGTCACTTTTCCCCAGTATTGGGCGTATGTCAGAGGGTGGGGCCCTGTAAGAAACTGTGGAAAGCTTCTATCCTGATTCCCACATATACACACACACACACACACACACACACACACACAGGTTTCTATTCACCACATTGTGCCATTCGCTAAGCAGGACCCATGCATTGTTTTGTGTGTCACGGCGAGCAGCGTGACTAAATGACTTAATGCAACAGTTTACTGATCCAAGATGTGTTACCTTTCTTACCCTCGGGAATAATCTTTACACACTGACTTACACAACTCACAGCTAGATGGATTGAGGTATTACGTTACGTCCATTTATTGTCTAATCAATAGCTCTAAAAAACGACTACTAAAAAAAGTAAAAAACTATTTGCTTTTTGAATGGAAATTGTAGCCGGGGATTCAGATGCCTAGAACCCGTCGTCTTACAAACACCCTGTCAACACATCTGCCGATGAAGTCCAACAAGTGTTTGTGTAAGCCTAAAATGTATGACTTCCAATCACAAATGTAAACAACTCTTGAGTTTGCTGCAATCCTCGACTTCCCAGCATAAATACTTGAACTTGATATCTTGAGCTCCGATACTGTTGAAGTGTGGCCAGGTGCTGTGAGCTTCAGGAGAAAAACACAGGCCCCCCTCTGTGACGGCTCCAGCAATACCTCAACCATCACAATCTGCCCAGGGTGGTGTTGGGTGTGTCTGTGTGAGACGAGCTGGATTGAACCAACAAAGAGCCCGGCTGGGTTCATTTAACAGGGGACACTAACTCCAAACGTGTCATATATGGATGGCGTCTTATTGCTTAGTCTGGCCATGGCTCGAGGTTATTGGACGGGTCCAGCAGCGGGAATGTTGATGTAGAAGGTTCATTTCAGTTTATCCCCATATGTCATACTTGTGGAACATTTTAGTCACAGCTCATTCTGGCACATAAAAAATACATTTAAAACGGTTCAAAGTGATGATGGATGTAATATAAGGATTTAATTCACAACATTTTTTCAAGGAGTTAATAATAAAATATCACTCATCAAATGTTAATGATTACTTTTTTGTACAGCTGGAGGACATTCAATGAACCTTAATTCTGAGATCTGCATGAGCCATGTTATGCAGACTGGCTGACTAAATCATGTCTCTTATTGATTGTAAAAAAACACAAAAAAAACGATGTCAACCAGTTCAACCAGTTGAGGTGACATGAGAGAGAGAGACAGTCTGACCTTGGCAGGCTCCAGTGCGGATGTTGGGGATGAAGCCTCGCCTGCAGGGGTGTGGCTGGGCGGGGCACTGCTCACAGGGGTGGCCCCACGCTCGACCAATGGTGGCGCAGCAGAGGGTCTTGGTGCAGACGATTCCACTGAGCTGACCCTGGCACATCTGGTTGTTCACCTGGGTGAAACACGGCCCCGTCCTGTAGTCTGCGGAGCGAAAGAGATGAGAAGTCCTTCGTTTGACTTTTGATGGATTGAATACATTCAGCGAATCGTCGCTTCAGTTCCTCGAACACATCTAGATCCCTGTTAAATGAAACCAGATCAAGTACATAGAGGAGATTTTTTTTTTCTCTTTCTCTGTAATGCATACTTCCTTTGATATCTTTGTCATTTTTTGTTGTTAATTTGGCCTAAAAAACAAATGGGGGAATGGAATGTTGTGGGAAAAAAGAAACTGGCACAGGATTAGACGATTATTTTTCATCGAGACGGCTCGCCAGACCTTTAAACACGTTTAAAAAGTGTTCAGTCTTTGAATCAACAATTGGCTTGCAAGGATCAGCAGTACAAGCAGCTACTTAGGAAGAACACAACGATAGTAGCAGCCTGACGGCTCACGTCACAGCGGCACGTGAGTTCAAGTATTTCCCTGTTAAACCTGCTCGGAATAAACTGCTAAACACATCCAGATTGTTTCTTTCCGCTGGAATTTAGAAATAGGATTTGAATGACTGGTATGCATTTATTCTGTGAGATAATAAGTTAACCCGTTGGACTGACTGAATCACATTGTTGGTGGTGCGCTGAACAGCGACGGCTTCTGTTTCCATCTATGTGTCAGTACTAGAGGCCAACGGCAGCGTGGTCGTCCGTGACAATCATTCACTCCAAAAACGAGACATCTGGCTGTTATTTTCTAGACAATGCACATTTTTTGTGTCTCGAAACCCATAAGACGTCACACAACATGTGTTGCCAATAACACAAAAGGAACACAAATGTCTCATGGAAGTCAAGACAGATGTGTTGAGATGGCTGATCCTATCTTTTTTTTGGAAAGGGACGGTGACCACAGGGAAGATAAGTAAGTGCACACAGCAAACAGATGTTGCAAGTAAACACATTCAGTGATCATCTCACCTTCTTGCTGCATTGCCTGTTTGCCAGTAAATTATGGGAATTTAGCCTAATGAGGGCTTCCTCTGTGGCAGAGACCTAATATCTTCTCGGTTAGATGGCGAGCGAGACAAGCTGCACGCTCGGCTAGCGAATGCTGTGACAACGAGTTGTGGAGAAAGACAGCGGGCGGCTCGGCTCTGATTAACAGAATGACGTCGGGAGATGGGAATCAGCGGTGATGTGTGGTGGGAGTCCTTCTTCAGACTTATTGGTTCCTTGTGCATCACGAAAAGGGGATCACAGAGAATGCCGTGTGAGACGCAGAAAGAAAAGAAAACGGGAGCGAGGAAAGTCAAGTAGGTCAAAGTGAGCATGCGGAGTGCAGGTTGGGGTTCAGGCCGGCTCTCCCTCATCTGGTCTTCTCCTCGCCTGCTTCAGGTCTTCCTGTCTGTCTGCCCTCTGCTTTCTCCTTGTGAACGCTTTTTGATTTTCCATCAACATGTGCACTGCACAAACCAATTTATGCACCATCTCCCGCCTGGACTACTGCAACTGCCTCCTGGCAGGTCTCCCTGCTACCGCCATCCGACCTCTGCAGCTCATCCAGAATGCAGCAGCTCGACTGGTCTTTAACCTTCCGAAATGCTCCCACACTGCTCCACTCCTCCGCTCTCTTCACTGGCTACCGGTGGCTCCCCGCATCCAGTTCAAAACATTGGTGCTCACGCACCATGCTGTGAATGGATCGGGTCCAGCTTACATCCAGGTCATGGTGAAACCCGACATCCCGACCCGCACTCTCCGTTCTGCATCTGCAAAACTGCTCGTCCCTCCATCACTGAGAGCAAAACACTCGACTAGATCACGTCTCTTCGCTGTCCTTGCTCCGAAATGGTGGAACGAGCTCTCTGATGATACCAGGACCGCAGAGAGCCATCACATCTTCCGTCGCAAACTAAAGACACACCTCTTCAGACTCTACCATGACTAAAAGACTAACAAATTGTAGCACTTAAATTGTACTTATAGCACCACTCATTTATAGCAAATTGTAAATTGGCTTATTTGATGAAATTCCACTTTCTTGTTTCTTGTTCTTCTGAGTTTGTACCCTATGGTTGAATGCACTTATTGTACGTCGCTTTGGATAAAAGCGTCAGCTAAATGACATGTAATGTGATGTAATGTAACCTACACATCGACATGGACTAGCTGAGCCGGGGATTGACGGACGACCTGCTCTGTTATTCAGTCACAGAAGCCCAATGTGCAATTGATGAAAACAGACTACACACAGCTTGAGTTACACGCTGTTGATCTGTTCAATTTTGATTTTTAGATTTTATTTGGATTTGTTGACAGATCAAATATAACCATTGCTTGCCTTAAACCTCCCGACAGAAACCATGTTACTATTTTGTACACGGCTGGAATACAACAATTGGCTGTCTTGTTGCGGGACTGAAAAAACGATTCAATGGACATTTAACGAAGAAAGAAAGGAGATAAAAGGACAAAATAAATGCTGCTTCCAAACTTTGTCTTTGATTTAGGAAAAGACGGTTTCCTTCCTCTGAAGAGTCGCCCACACTCTTGATCTTTCAGCAGCAGTAGACAGCAGCACGCACCGGCCAAGTTTGGCAGACTATTCATGTGTGCTGGATTAAATATATATATCGACGTCTCCGCTCTTCTTCTCTCTTCTACACGTGTCTTCACCTGAAGGGAAACAGAATCCCTCCAAGCAGCAGCGTGGAGACAAACTAGAGACCGGAGAAGCACCACAGCGTTCTTTAAAAGCCTAAAATAGCAAAAAGGGAAGAAATGAACCGTGTCCCACAGTGTCCCAATCAACATGTGTTGTTTGGTAGACACGTCCGTAGGTCATGCACGTAACGTCAGCGGATTAGGACGAGCAATCCAACGTCCTGACTCGGTCCCGCTGACAACATTCTGAAGTCATTTGGACTAATTAGTGTTCAAATTGCTTCGTAGATGAAAAACATTCGCCAGATTCTCTCTTTTATCCGCTGACCGCTCTTCAATCGTTAAAGATCGCTGTCTCTCATCCAGATGTCTCGGGTTTGGTTCATAACCAGCATACATCGGGATGAATTTAGCATTTTTCCTCCTTTGTGCTATAGACTGACTGGAGTCTCATTTTAACTTTTAAACAAGTCTCAAATGCTTTAATTTCATAAACATCAGGACACATCATGGAAATGCTGTAAATCAGCCCCTGAGTTTGTTGCGACCTTTCACTTAGACGGGGCCACATAATTTCTTTCAGAGTCTTTGTGTCGGAATCAACCACATGATGATCTGATACCGTAAAAGAGAAAAGAAGTTGACTTCAGACATCAAAGCCCAAAAAAAGTTGGATGAAAGGAAGATGAAATACTTTAAAGGCGGAGGTGAGAAAGTATTCAATCCTCCATGGAAAGCAAACCCTTCAGGAAAACATTTTCCCATCAACCCCGTACAGCTGTGGGATCAGAGGGGACAGAGGCATCGACTTGAGATGAACGGCAATGTTCATTAATAACAGCCAAAGTATTTACAAAACTCCCAGCGGAAGAGGTCACGGACGATAAGAAATTTGAAGTATGAGCACATCACATGAAAATCAAAGCTACTATCATTCATACATACTTCTCTTTGACAACAGATCAAATGAATCAGGAGAAGAAATATATGTAGATAAAGTGTGTGTTTTTAAACCTGGATGACCTTTCTACACTCGTCAAACCGTTACTCGCCTGTTTAAAACCAGAGACATTTTCTAACTTCCCTCTGTGCATGTGCGTGTGTGCGTTCATGTCTGGTCGGTGTGTTGAGACACATTCTGGCAGCTCTTGTGGAATATCTGATCGCATCGTTCGGTTTGTGTCCTCAGCTGATGTGGACCTAAATAAATGATTCAAATGTTAGGATTGTTTGTTTGTGATTGCATGTGTGTATGTGTGTGTGTGCGTGTGTGTCTGTGTGCACGCGTGCATATGGGAGTGTGTGTTTGGGAGGTTTATCCTCATCGTAGCCAACCAGAACTGTCTCTGTGCCATTATCAACAAGCTTAAAATCATTATTATTTTTCTTTTACCCCTTCTCATTACTCAAGGAGTCTGCTGCTTTCATTTGGTCCACACCAAAAGCTCGAACGTGTTTAGCACACACACACAAACACACACACACACACACACACACACACACACACACAGTGAAGAACAACTGTGGGAAAATGGAAATGTGAGAGATAAGCACTCAGCAATGCCTGTAGCTAACTGCTCTGTGAACTGTGAATTTGTGTCATTCATTGTGAAATGTGAATAAAAAATAGTATTTAATTCTCTGACTTTTTTATGTTGGGGCCTTGTTTCCTTATCTCACTGATTCTGCTGTAAATCTACCGTGACTCCCACAGCTCCTTTGGTGTGTTTTGGGAAACTTCCCATCTCAATAGCGTTGAGCAGCGGAACAATAGTTGAGACTCCATTGAAAGCAGGCAGACCAGGCGAAAAAAAAACACCGTCCAGGCTCCATCAACAACCACCACTCACGGGACACACGGGACACCAGTTACTTATTCGGACGGAGAAGTCTTTGTAATGCTTTCTTAAGTGCGGCCAGCGTAAATCAGCCCACTCTTTACCCGCACTGGATCAAAGAGAGTCTTCATCGTCGTCCCGCGAGGCTGCTCAAGTATTGATTGGAACAAACCCGAGCCTCTAAATTTGGCCCGGGGGGCACTGGTGAATAATTTCCGTCCACTTTTTGTTTATGAGATGGATCATCAACATTTAGTGCCCACATGAAAGCACACACTAAAAAACGGCTTGTTAAAATGTGACGTTCCTAATTACGCTCAATGCAAAACGCGGCGATTTCATTCTGAGCATACAGTACCACTCGGTATCTGGATGAAGCACATGGATTAAAGCATAATCTACCATTATAACACGCTCAGCCTGTTTATGGATTAGTATTTGCTCCTGTACATTGTGACCAGCAGCAGAGATCCGTGCATGTGGAAAACACACAACACATGGGGCCTAGATTAAGAGGTAACGTCGCGCCGCATTACAATACAATTTATAGACTCGCTGTAAATCAAATCTAGCACGGCTCCGAACTGGCTGCCTGAAACCAGATTGACCTGCGCCTGCCCCCGAGTCCCAGCATTCCACCCGCGCAGCCATCCTGTCCGGCCCGGGCTACGTTTTCCAAAAGGAATAGCACAGCTTCCTACTCCTCCTTCCTAGTCATCCAAACATGCGCACGCGGAGACGTTTCCCACCATTCTGGTTGACTTTCACTGCCCTAAAACATCACAGTTCATCGGGTGTATTCTAACGGAATCACACACTGCATCTACTGACTCATGTGCTCAATTACACAAACGACCAAACCACAATACAAGAAAACAGAGCTGTAAGAACACGAAAGGATCCCGCCGGGGACGCAAGCATCCATTTCAGGCCAAACCCACCAATAAAAACATCTACTGGTCATTTATCAAAATGATTCAATTCTCTGAATTTAACAATCAATCTCCACATCCAACACACGCCGTCACTGGGCTCAATTATGCCGTCGATTAGACGAGTTTAGCCCGACTCCTCCCTCACCGAACACATACAAGTGTTCCCCTGTGACTCCACCTGAAGGTGCAGTCACCCCTTTCCCCGACACGGAGAGTGTTTAGACTCCCTTCCACCAGGCTCTGTGTACACAGCTGGGGAGTCCATTTTCATTTACACCCTTTTTCCTCCCCTCATTCTCTGTCCGTCTCTCTCTGTGTATCTGATTCCCTGGTACCTTGCCCCGCTGAATCGAGAAATGTCCACGACCGCTCTACAAAGAAAGTCTATTCCGTCAATCCTGTGGGGATGTTGGGGGAGGGGTGGGCGGGTGCGGGAAGGGGGGTGTTTAATGCCAGATGTCTGTCAGGCTCCGTCTGACCAACTCAACCCCCAAAAAAGTTGTATTTTCCCAGAGAAAAAGCCAAGAGTTCGATGGAGAAATAATTTGAGGGATGGGGAGTAAGATGAAGGCCGGACAAGTTATATAAGTTAACGTGGGAGCCTCAGTTCAAAAAATAGGGGAGAAAACAAGACAAGTAGAGTACAAAAAGGAGGCCGGAGAAAGGCTGAGTGAGGAGGATACTATTTGAAGAAAACAGATGGTGTTTTTTTTTAAACACACACCTACATGCTGTAAATACAGTTTAACTGAGAGGAATGAAGAAGAACAGTTGAAAGGCAAGAGGTGAGCGAAATTACAGGACAGAAACTTTCTTCTACCTGAGTGTTAATTTACAGCAGGACAAAGAGGATGAAAGTGGAAGCTGCGGGTCGGAGAAAGGTAAATTTGGTGGTGGAGAATATCTGAAGGTGTAAAAAAGGCTTACTCGTTATCCGAAAAATAAAAAAGGGTGAACTAAGGTGAAAGCGCAGCCGCCGACCCGGGTCTTCTCCCCGTCTGCAATCACGGGACTGTGTCACCTACTACACGCCATCACTTCCCACCACACACATACCTCAGGGTTGTGTGCAAAGCTCAGGAGGCGAACACCCACTGTCTGTCTGAGCTAACGGTATGAAGTCATCCACGTTAGAGGGGGCTGAACGCCGACCAAGCCATGAAGTAATGAACTGTCTGTACTGATAGCAGCAACACCCATATAGCTTCAGGACCACATCAAAGCCTTCCTGGTTCCAAATCTTCCCTAAAAACTAGAGTTTGTGTGTTAGTGGGGAGTACTGATAAAAGTATAAAAGAGTCTGTGTCTCGCGAGCTCGATAAAGGCCATTTTAGTCAACGTGCACAATGGAGTTCGTTTAAAAATGTCATCTCGCAGTTTTGATGATGTTTTTTCACACCAAATGAATCGCTGACAATGACTCAAATGTTCAAAATGTAGAGGTGAAAACCCGGAATAGTAGGTCAAAGTTAACAGTTGCTCTGCAAAATCGAATCAATGCATTAACATTAACACATTGGCTGATCGACTCGTTGATCTCTTTCCTGTTTAGATGTCGACATTCTCTGATCTGAGCAATGAAGCAGGTGTTCTATGAGATATTAATACAAAAACGACTCCCAAAAAATAGCAGCTTGTGACGTATTTTCTAAAATCCACTGTACATTATTTCATTGACATTTGGTTTCCACACTAAAATACCAAGCAAGGTCTATCATCAGCAGGCCTCCATTGTCTGTTCCAGCTGAAGGTGGAAGTGGAGCATCATCACTACGCGCACACAGGAAGCAGGTAAAGCTCTTACCTCTCTCGCACTGCGGGCCAGTGAAACCGTAGACACAGGCGCATCTGTTGGGCCCGATGCAGCGGCCTCCATTCTGGCAGCCGTTCTCGCACACGGCTACCCGGAGACAAAGGAAAACAGAGGGATTCACAAAGGATTCACACGCTTAGCACACGCTCGATCTTACAGACATGCTAACACATTTATGTTGGAGTCAATGACAGTGAATCTCTTTTCTTCTCTCTAACCTAAATTGTCCTCAACAAACCGGTACAATCATAATCTATGTTTGGTCATGTATTTGGCATGGTCACGCTGCAAGTAAAGGCCTGACCAATCGTCTTAACCAGCACAGCGGAATATTTGCGGGGTTTAAAAATAAAAATACAAATTGGTATCATCTGCATGCATTGAAAGTCTTTCAAAGTGGGTTCACTTTGAAATATGCAATTTTTTTCTTTTCACCCTTCAGACATTTGGTCCTTATGCTGTAGCTGCGAGCAGGTGACATATTGCAGGTGAGCCCTCCCTCCCCCCCCTTCCCCCGACATGCACGTTCACACCCATTGTGTGCATAAGGTTACACTCACGCTGTCCACAGTGGTTGCCTGTGAAGCCCTTTGTGCAGGAGCACGAGTCCTCTGCACAGCTGCCTCCATTCATGCACCGGACATTGCAGGATTGGACTGTAGGAGAGAGGACGGAGAGGAGAGAGAGGGAGATAGTTGGGGGGTGATGGGCAGGAATTAGGAATGGGAAGGGCACAAAGAAAGACAAGTGTAAACAAGATGCACTTCAAAAAATATAAGGCATTCACATATTACACAGGCCGCAATTTTATTACAAAATAGTAAAATAGCAAATTGTCTTTTACAGGTATCATAAACCAAAACCTCACCTTTTAGGAAGTGAAAGGGGAGAATTAATGGTTTGAGTCCTCACATACTTCATTGTATTATTACCCAATTACAGAACGCATTGTTTGAGCTGTTTCCAAACTCCAGAGAGTTGAGCAACTACATGTGGGCACTTTAACACATTAAGAGGCTTTTTGCTGCTTTAGTTGGGTTTGCACCACGCCGGTGTTTCTTTGGCAGCTTTAGATGAGCAGACAAGGCTCAAGGCCCCCCCCAGGCCACAAAACTAGATTTAATCAAGCAGACTTTTGGGGGTTGGCAATAAGTCGAGCCAGCTGTATGCCACAGTCAGTCAGTCAGTCAGGAATCCGCTGAGAGGAGATGGAAACTGGGTGAAGGGGTAAAGAAGTACGGTACGAAGGCAAAAACAAAACACGATGCGTAGGAAATTTAAGAGAAATAATGGGAGTAACTTGGAACAGTGTGTAAACAAACCAGGAGTGCTGTGTTGAGGTGGTATTATGATAGTAATACGAAAGTAAGGGACTGTGATGGAGCCGATGTGACTCAGGCACTTTATGAGGGAAGCTATTGACCTTTCTGGCAGAGAACCTTTTAGTGAAGACATCTACAGTAGATGCTAAAGAATGTATCCAGTTAATGTTTCCATGCATCCTGATTTCTTTCATGCTGACTTATATTTTATTGTCTCCCTGTCCCTTCCTTTCTCGTTTTTTTTTTTTTTATTCCCCCCACTATTCCCACAGCACCTTTCATGCTCTTCTGTCTATATCTTAATCTCAAGTTTAACGTTAATTTCCTCTCGTTCTCTCCTCTCTCCATCTGTCTGTTTATGTATCTTTCGCTCTTTCACATTTCTGGCTTTCAGTGCTGCGCACCAGAAGGGAAATGACTGCGCTTCCTGATGGCTGAGGTTGTCTAATGAGACTTTCAGAGTTTGCACTCTCAGGTACTTCAGTCATTATAATCCACCCACTCATTCCGACTGTACTCAAACACACTAAATATGACTTGTGTGAGTCAGGCTGCGAACATAAGCTTTTCTTTGTGATCACTCATGGATTCCTCACTGGCAGATCAGGCTTCAGATGCAAAAGTCAAAGAACAAATCTTGGATGTGGACCGTGTGAAGCCGAGGTGTAATTCACCAAAAACCTCTCGAGTCTGGAAGGAATTCCAGTTAACTTTCTCATGTGCAACACTTGGCAGACTTTACATACAGATTTGGCAGAAAGGACTTTTTGTCTGGATTGGGACTGATGGCAACATATGGTGATGAATCTTAGCTAATGCTTTGGGACTCTGGGGCGGCCGGGGTTTATTTGTCAGTGTACTAATGTGTTGTCTCTCTAATGTGTTGTGTAATCTGTTTCTCTCCTTTTTCTCAGTCACTCTCTCAGGAGGTGTGTATGATCTTCCTTCTGAGACCGAGACATGCGGTTGACGCGGTACTCTTGTGAGTTTTTCTTAATTTAAGGCCAAGAATGGAAGTAGTTATGTGAAACCTGAATGAGTATTGCTCTGAGTGATTTCAGCTTTCTTTGGAACAAACTGTGGAGAAAACCTCCAAAACTAAAACGACTTGGATAAAGTCTTGCATTTTTTAAACATGTCCCTCCCCACAGAAATTGGTCGAGAAGATGGGGTGTTAAAGTCAATGAACTCTCTGCCCTCAGAAAAAGAGGATAAAAGGACAGGTGCTGGGAAGGCATGTGCACCGGGTGCCATGTTTTTTCTCTGCAACGGGAGGAGGCACAAACAAGCCCATTTGGAGACAGAGGGAGGTGATCTCACTGGTAAACCTCGCCCCCCCCCACCTCATGGCCCTTCATTCCCCACAGGTGGGAGGGAGATGGTATGTTCCAATGTCCTATGCCTGGAAAGCTGCACTTGTAAAGCAAGAAGGTAGGGGGAAGTGCATCTGTGTGTGTGTGTGTGTGTGTGTGTGTGTGTGTGTGTGTGTGTGTGTGTGTGTGTGTGTGTGTGTGTGTGTGTGTGTGTGTTTCTTCCAGACATTGAGCAAAAGGAGTCGGGTGCTGCTTTACGGCACCACAATGCACTTCTGTACTCTGGTAGTGTTGCCGGTGAGCTGCTCACATCTGGGTGTTTTTTACGAGAGGCTGCGAAACACAGGAAGTCCCAGCTTGTGTGTCGAGCGCTTGTGTGTTGAGCGCGTGTGTGCGCGCGGGAACTTCTGTGTGTGTGTCAGATGGAAAACTTCGGAGCTTTAATGGCTGTGTTTTGTCCTGGTTTGCAGACCCCCCAAGGATCAGTGACAAGCCAGCCTCAGTGTGGACATGGATGGGCAATGGAGTGAAACGGAGATGCTGTCAAAGCAGGTTACCAGTCACATATAGAGATCTCTTTCCATTATATGAAAAGTCACAGCCCTCGAACTTTGTACCTCCCCCACACCGTCAAGTTTCTGGGAATATTTGACACATTTATTCTCTTACGGACCTCGGGGTGACGCGTTACTTTGTGGTCAAGATTGAAGTAGTGTCATGGCTTCTAATTAAAAAGGCCTCCCTCTGCATTCCCAGCACTCACTGAGCTCCCAGTCAATATTCAATGGAAGCCTGTCAGTAGAGAGACAGCTGTTTCTCAGCATTAGGGCAAGAACGTCCGTGGTAATGATTTCCTAATTATGGTTAAGGGAGGACACGGTTATAAAGACGGCCCTGTGCGACTTTCAGCCCAGCTGCTATGCCCTAAACTGTCGAGTGTGTATATTAGAAGGGTGACTTGGAGCGTCGATCTCCCTTGTCTGGGAATTGACACGTAACTCCAAGTTGTCAGTGCAGTTAGGAAGCCACTTTGGCCGTGAGATTCCAAGAAAGAGTCAAAAAGGAAGTCGTAGACAACCCTGTGTGTGGATTAAATAATAATAGCAGACATTTTAACTGCACGTGGAAGAGCACAAATGTGTTGATGATTTATTTCAATCTCTGCATTCCACAGGCGAGACGTGAGACATAAAGATGCTATCTATAAATCAGGGTAATATAATTAAAGCCGATGAAATTGGCATTTCCAAACAAATCTCAATAGAATTGCAATTTGCTTTATCTGCATTGAATCAGGTTAAATGGTGGACTTTGTCCAAAAGTGTGTGAGTCTGCACGTTTAGGCCGACAGGAGCTAAAAGGAGAAGTGTTCGTCTTCTCCTGGCCAGAAGTCTCTGTCAGAGATAGTTGTAAAAACAGTTTTTAACTTAATTATTGCTCTGCTAAAAGCCAAATCGAAACAAAGCATTATGACTTAATATTAGCCAATTGCAAGCATTTCACCCAAATATAATAAAGATTGAGACACAGTCGGGTTCAGGAGTTCATGCAGGTCAGTGAGGAAATTATTTTTCATAGATTACTGGAATTATAGCTTTCGGGAGACCTCGGTTACTCCACAGAATACCGTGTTCACTGACGGTTGTATATTTATCTCGGGCCATAAAGCTGGTTGACCTCTGACCTCAATGAAAGCAGCCAGAGAGACCAAACCAAGTTTATTTTGCAGTGATAAACTCCTTACAGTGCACTAAAAGACATTTCCCATATACTAGTGAAATGTAGCTGTCTGTGATTATTATCATACAGTATAACCGAGCAGCTCATTCCCTCCCTCTGCACTGCTTGTAAACCCCATAAATCCCTGTTGGGGAAAGCTGAGAGCCACAGAGTGTGACGTTCCGCTCGGTACAGCTCTGCTAAGCTTTCAGTCTAATGTATCACTTCAATTTCTAGCATCATTCCTGCCCTTATGGGACATGACTTCATAGCTCCTGCCAAAGGCCTGACTCTGCAGGATATATGTGCGTATCCTGCAATTCAAGTCAGAGGCTGATTTTTCCTCCCCCCCCCACCCTCAATGCTCTTCCTATAAGGGTCGTCCCACCTTATGGCTGGACCAGATCCTACTTTACACATCTGGGTCGCAGCCATTCGACGCTCACTGTTTGCGTGTGACAGTCTGGGTTTTTTTGGGGAGGGGGGGGGGTTGTCCGTCTCATTAGTATAAGAGCACGAGTGTCTGGGTATCTGTCAGTGTGTGCAGCTGCCCGAGTCAAAATGTGTGTTAGCGGCCTCCGTGGAATGCGAGCATGTGTAAAGGGTCTGGCCGGGGCCAGGCGTGACCGGCGAGCCTGACTGAAGCGGCGAAGCCGAACACGTTGCGCGCTGCTTGAGACGCACATCCACTCCTCCTTTGCGTGCTCCCAAAGTGGCGCTTAACGACAATGGTTTCTGCACATATTAAATTCATATCTGAATCAGACAAACGAGATTTCACACAGTCTGCATGTGCAGTGAAACACCTCGCCTTGCTGGAAACACACACACACACACACACATCCTGAATGGTGTGTAACTAAGCCCAGCAGACTGAGCTGGGCAGCCAGACTCTCTACTTTAATCCTGACAAACCCTGTGACCTGCAGCCAGTGGAGCAGGCCGGGGACTCTATGCACTAACATTACCGGGGCTACGGCGCTATTCTGGCCCCTGCGAGAGAAGGTTGGAGGCTCCGTATTTGGAAAAGCTGAGCAATTGGATTTGGTAGGAACTGAAACTGCTCAGTGTAACAATCAAATATCCTTCCATTAGTTGATTGGGCCACTTAGCAGGATCACACGGCAAAGTCAAGCTTACGGCCATTCAGATGAATAAAAGGATAGGCCTACTGTTTATTTACTTTCCATTACAGCAAATGTCCGATAATCCTTGAGTATGGTAAGTAATCAGAAAAAGAGACCTATTAACCAAATGCTCTCCAGCGAGACGCTTCAATCTGAGAATACGGTTGAAGAAAGAAACACCTCTCTAATCATTGCACAATTCTGCGGCAACCATTGGTCTTTTTTCCACACACATGGTTGTGAACATAGTTGCTATGACTTCCTTTACAACCCTTTCCGGACTTGCTTTTTCGCAATGAACAGGCCGGATATTCGAAGGACAGACATCAGAGTGGTATTGATCTTTTAATATTATGCTTATTCTCCACCAGAAAGTCAATAAGCGTATTTCACAAGCTTCCTCAATATCATCAAGTGTCTGGTTTTGTCCAACACTCCAGAACATCCGCTGCAGAAAAGCAGCCCTGTTTGCTTTCCACTTGAGTGATGAATCAAGCCGCTATATAAAGTACAGATAATTGTACGATCCACTAATTGTTTTAGCTCAGGAGTTGGTGGTTGGTTCCCCAGAAACGACCTCAAACTGTGAACATGTATCTGATGAATACGTGAGGTGATGTAGTGTAACATTTACAGTAACAATATTTGTTTGATAAAGTTTCATGCATAATTGGCTCGGTTACTAACTTCCTCCTCCTGATCCACAGCTGGGAGAGAGCTGGCCACTGGAACAGGTGCACATGTTTGGTCTTGAACAGAAGCCATCGCCACACGAATTCCTGCAAATTGCTAGCGAGAGGAAGGGGAAGAGGAGAGAATTTGATTAATGGGTAATGTTAGGGAACTATCCCACGCGTAATGTATCTGTCATCCTTTCCACTGAGACGATTTAAGCATTGAGGAACTTACGAACAATACACTGGTTCCCTCCTGGCAGAGTCTTCCAGCCCGGGCAGCAGTAGGAATGGAAGCGAGAGCCACACACATTGGGCCTGACAGAGACAAAAAAGAAAAAGCAAACTCAGTACTCAGACAGACCTCACAAAACTTTAGTAGAACTCCTCAACATATACAGATATGCATTATTTTCTGAGCTGCCCAAGATCTGGCCCAGGCCTTTAGAGTAAACAAAACTAACTTGGATAAAAAGCCTCCTCGAGTGATGGATGAGGGTATTTTCAGGGAGGGCAGGAATGAAATGTGAGGGGCCTAAAACATGAGGGGCAACATTTTGTTTTCATTCAAGGCTTAATTTACACTTCGAAGGACAGGATGTATAAAACTCTTCCCTTTTCCCAGTTTCCATGCCTGGCTGTCACCTTCTCTGGCTTTACTGGTGGAGAAGCTGCATTGAACTTTGACCCTGTCTGACAGATGCGAGACTCATCACAGCTTATAGACCACTACATCAGCCTGACAGGTTAGCCGCAAAGATTTACTTTGAGGAAATGGCTAAACCACATCTAGATATGACTGGGGTCTGCTCACAGGACGAGAGGGACGGAGGTCTGCCAGCCGCCCTCACAAACTAATGCCACACTTTAGTTTTTTATCTTCCACGAATAATTACACACCTACTTTTAACTCAGTTTATTTAGAATGGGAGTAAAAGTCCAAAACATGCATCAATCCCAAAACCAGAAACCCTATAAGAAAGTGCGTGTGAGTCAGTGTGTGCACTCAAGGGAAATACCCAGAGACGCTGCGTAAAGCCGTTTAACAAGCTGAAGGGATTCCAAGTATGCGGCGGTACTAATGACACCCTTGGTGACCTCTCAAAGCGTATAATGACGGGTATTTCACCGGCCATCTGTGTTGGTGGTTGGTTGTTTGTAATTGCCAATGGCATGACCAAGAATCGAGGGACCACAACTTGGTAAATTGGGATAAAGCCCCATGCAGAGGCGCATGGTGAAGTCATTTGCCTCATTTGCCTCTGGGATTGTGACTGCTTAAAGTAGGCTACACATTTTTGTTTTTAAGACGACAAATGATAAGTGAAGTAAGACAACTTTAACTCTTTCATTAGGCATTACTTTTTCACACGCGTATCATTACATAAGTCAACTGAACTTCATGCATAAATGTATACTACATTGCAAGAAATGTGCAGCTTTCTTGTGGTTATTCAGACCAAACCAGTAGACTAGAGGTCTGGGGCTAAAGCGTTAGCTCTTATGATCTTCTCAAGTTCCTCCTGCGTGGGACGGGTGACCTTCCTCTCCTCCTCACCAGACAGTATCCATAGCAACCAGCCAATGGATGGAGAGCAGAGAACCACTCCAACCACATTACCAGATGGCACGGGGAGACAGGGGGACGGACACACAGGTGGGCCAGTAGACGGAAGATCTTCATGTAGGAAGAAGTAGTGGTCGGACAAAGACGCAAGATAAAAAAATAAAAAAAAGATTAAAAAAAGATAGTGAGAGGACAGCGAGAGGAACGGTGATTATGGTGGAGGCCCAGGACAGTGGGAGGGAAAGCCAAACAAGCTCATGTTGAGAAGAAGAGGAAGCAGGAGGAGGAGTGGGGAGCGGAAAACGGAGACATGGAAACGAAGGCGAGAGCAGCATAAGTAAGAAGGCCAGACCCTCGGCGGGGGTTGAATTTCTGGAGAAACACGCCAACCAAACTGAGCTCCAGGAAAAAGAAAAGCATTGAGCGAGACATCAGCATTCCAACACTTAATGAGGAGCAAAGCCAGAGTCTTCCCTGATCTATTTCGCCACAAAGCACTGAAGATTTTCCACTGTTACAGATGACGGGATGTCAATATGTGGAGGATTATTGGGGTTCGACCCTGAGGTGCTCTAGTCTGTTATTCTTCCTCCCTTTCTCTTCTCTCTCTCTCTCTCCTTCCTCCAGGTCACTGCCCGGCCTCCTATCACAGAGAGGAGGCTTTTAGAGGATGAACTGAAGTAAAACAGAATGAAAGACCGTAAAAAAGGGGTTTAATCCCCAGGGGTTTTCCTCAATATTGAAATGTCCTGCTGGTCTGAGGACTCAATCTAAAGGAGATTAACTCTTCTGTGGCCATGTCGCTGCCTTTGAAGTTGCCTCCCGGCCCGTGAATCGCTCATTAAGTGCCATTAATAGTAATAAAAGGAAAAAGGCTGCCACCCCATTCAATGGGGAAAATGAACAGTGAAACATAGACAGACTTAGTCGGCAAAACACTTATGTATGGTATCACAATGTCACAATTTATTCTAACTTTAAAAAACATAAGATTAGATTTCAGAGTTTGTCGTTGAAACAATGAATCCATCTATTGATAGTTCATCTAAAAGAAACAATTGTGATGCTTAATGATTTCAGTCACATATTAGAAATAATTACGGCAATTAATTACGGTCGCTTTTAAGCGTTACAAATGCCAGACGTTGCTGCTTTTCTTTGAAATTTACATAATAGTAAACTTAATATATTTGGGTTTTGGAGAGATACATACAATTAGACACTGCAACAGCTACAGCTGCATGTCACGTCATGCAGCTGTAGCCTGAGGCACCTTTTGTTATGCAGGAATCCAGCGAGTCAAAGGTCAAAGTAGTTCATAGCACTGACCTACAAGGAAGGGCATCACCGGGCAGGCAAGGAAAATGACTACTGACGGTCTTCCATTAAGGCCCAGAGCACTTGCCAGAGATCCAGATCAGGTGTCTTTGTCCGTGTATGTGTGTGCCAGTAAACTGGTCATTGGTTCAAAGGTCATATGCCTGGTATTTGACCCTCTTCAGAAAAAAATCTTACGTATTGCTGCCTCTAAGCAACACCTGGCCCTGTTTTTTTTGTATGAAAAATGTGTACCTTACTCCAAAAATAATTCTTACCTATTGCTCCCTCTGTCCTCTGGTCAGAGGGAGACTAAAACGAGAAACGGAAATATATAAAATATATTTTTCAGTGTGTGTATATGTGTGTCTCAAATGTGGTAAGTAAACTGATGACTGAATCTTTTCATACAGTCCACTTTACCACTTTAACCACTTTATTAACAGACCGCATGCTAATCAGCCGTCCCAGCTAATCCTTTCTTTACGGCTCATTCTTAGCCTGCACTTACAGTAAGCACAAAATGCAGACACATAAAACCCAAAAGAGAACGTAATGCACATAAAAGAGAAAGGGAAACTGGCAAATGTTCCCTCATACTACACATAAATTATTCTCAAGCTTTTTTTTGTCGGTCTCTTTTTTTCCTTTCTCTGTCTGACTTACAGTTTATCTTGTTACATCCATTCTCTTTTAACACGAGGCATGCACCGAGGAAGCCTACAATCAGAGGGCCACATCCAGGCCATCTTGGTGCTATTGACAATGACCTGCAGTAGACACGGGCGGCTCAAAGTAGTTCTCTGCTTCACGGCTGACTGTCTGCCAGGTTATCCAACATCCACGGCGTCTCTCCTCGGCAGCTCTGTGTAAGGCCGGGCCCAACTGGAATAAGCTAATGAGATGGGTCTATAAACTCTATGAGAAAAACCTATAAACTCTTTATGTTGGTTAGGCATTTAAAAGCGAGAAATATAAATCAAAAGCACTTCCTGAAGCATTCCTTCCACCGCTCCACCGATCCGGGGCGGAACGCCAGCCATCCAGCCAACTTTGATCAGATAGTGTCATTGAGTGGACCGATGCCCGGCTGCAGCGTGCAGCGGGGGGGGGCCAATAAATCAGAGTCAGTCGGCATCGGACCCATGCAGCGCTACCAGAGACAGCCCAGGGGAGCCAGTGAATAAACACTACACACCCGAGCACAAGGCCAGCGTAATGACCATCATTAACCTAACCTCCCTCGTCCTCCCACACGGAGAAACTGTGAAACCCAAACTGAGTCACTGCCGGTCCGCCGGGATTGTTGCAGCTCTCACATGAAAGCGTTGAAGTGAGTTGTGGCTCGGTGGGGTAGATGAGTTGTAGTGAAACTCAACAACTCCTGTGCTGCGGCATTTGATTGTCACTACACAAAGCATTGTGTGCTTTTCTTCTCCCCCACTATGGCTTCTGTCCAAAGGTTAAATAAAACACCCACACGTATCGATCATTTTACCCAAATTCCGAGTAAAACGAAGATCTTTTTAAGCCAACGACACTCAAACAGAAACAGGCAATAAATTCAACACATTAGAAGTATTTTCACTGGCCGGCCGGCCACAGATGCTTTTAGGTTTTGTGATGGTTCGAATGACGAATATACTAGGCGGCGCCTAAAAATACAATAAAAGGAATCACAAAGATGTCAGCATTTTGTCCAATGACTCTGCTTTGGCCCTCATCCCAGCATGAAAGTGATCCTTTTCGCCTTAACATAGTACTCTGAGTCATTGCGAAATCTCATCATCTATTTACGTCAATAAACAAAACTACCACTACAACGAGTATTTCATCCCCAACACAGCAGTGTTTCCAGAACTTAACAACGTAGTGGAAAAGGTCTGCAGGCTTCTGTTACATGTTCTTATGAAATTACACACAACCTGATGGGAATCATTTGCTATTGTGCAAGGTCTTCTGGTTTCCTCACTCTCTCCCCTGGCTGCTCACTCTCTGCAAGACAAACTGTGAACATGCATTGCTGTTCAGTCAGATCATATATTTAATATTTTGAGTTCAATGCCAATGACCTCATTTGGGGCTCGGGGAACACTGGGTCGGGCGGAATAACTCTGTACTGGTGCCTGTAAGCGGTTCAATGGACTGGAGATGTCAAAGGACCACCGCGCTCGCTTTGGTATGATGGGTCCCATTTTAAGTAAAAGCAGGGTAAGTTACTTCTAAGTAAATCAAAAAGAGTGGCATGGAAGTACTGAAATGATTACTGGTAAAGCCGTGGAGGCTGTCACAGAACAGTAGGTTTCTAGAGGAAACACCAGTTCTACTCTGTTTGAGCTTTACCCTCCACTTTTGATCATCTCTCTCACCATTGCTGCCGATTTGTTCCTCATCTCGTCCCTTATTCCCTCACAAACTCTTTCTTACACGCTTTTTTTTCCTGCCCTCTTTTAGTCTCTCTGCTGCTTTGTCACCTACAGAAGTGAAACAAATGCCCCTTTTCATACCCCCCTCCGGTGATACGAAAACCTCATTTCCTGTGGCTTGGCACCGGGGGGAACCATAAGCTGGGACAGATGGGAGATTGATTGGAATAACTGATGCAGACACGCCCCCCCCCCCAACAAAACATCCTTTGTTTTTTGCGAGAATTGGCAAAATATATACAGTGAAAACTCTTCGCTGCACACACATACGTCCCACACACATATTCACGGTGTTTAGGTAACAACAAAGGGAAAGCGCCGGGGGGGGAGTGCAGCCGGTGAGAGGTGATCTCTGCAACTCATTTCATTGGATACTCCCCACATACAGACCACCAAACTAACAGCGTCATTAAAAACCTACACATGCATGTTAACATGCACTCGCCCGGCCTCACCCTAAAACACCGGGGCCGGCGATCTACTCGCTGACGCCTTCAACAACTTTCTTCAGCTTAACCGAAACACTCGGAGGGAATTTGGGTCGTGCATTTCCCTCATCATCTCGTGTAGAAGGCAGCGTTTTTTCCTCCCTTTGCCATGAAAATGTCAATTTACTGTAAATACATTGGGTGATTATGGAAAGCAGCCTTTTAAGGCCTAACATATGCTGTTTTTGAGAAAACAATGTGGTAGTATTCAGCAGCGTAATTTGGTATAAGGCGAACTTGGCTTCAGCCCAGAAAGCACAGCAGTTGAAAGCGAGCTGCCAGGAAAGTGAGAAAGGAAAGCCATTTATGTTTAAACATTCTCCACATGCTACAATTTCTGTGTGCAAAAATCAAAATGTATGCACTCTTTTTTTGCTCCCCACTCTCCGTATAAATGTTTGTACAGTATGATACGATTGAAATTAATACCAAAGTGAATTAAGCTGCTAATTTGCCAAAGTTGGTGACACACAGCCACAACACAACACGTACACAACGCACACACAGACTGTCATCCCTACCCTCTCAGGGTCTCTTGGCCACGGCGTCGAACCCGCTGCACCTCTCTCTGGTCCACAGCGCCGGTGAAACGGCTGGCTTGGTACGGTCCGTTTGCAGTGTCACCATAAGCCACGTGGAATGCGGCCCATCCCAGCAGCACCTGGGCCAGCTTCCCTGATCCCATTTGACGATGTGGCTATCCCTCCTCGGGTAGTACCGCCGCGTCGCCTCTCACTCTCACTGACTGGCGGAATGGACCCGGGCCGAGCAGAGGGATCTAGTCCTTGTATCCAGGTCAAAAGTCCTGGTGTGCACTCCAGAGTAGGGGCTGCAGAGGGGGGGGGGAGAAGATGAAAGTCAAGGAACTAAACAAAAAGGGACTTATAGAAATCCCACTGAGGGTGAAATCAGTTCAACTCATCTGACACAGGAGTTCCCAAACTTCTTTGTCTGACAGCCCTGTAAGATGAGCCGATTATCTCCAACATCACTCAACTTATAATTTAAAAACGTATCGCTGGGTTCAATTGTGAGGTGGATGTTACTTATTTACTTAGTAACTGTCAGAACTGTCGGCGCGATATCTGTTTGTACAATGTCTTCATCCTTAGAATTTGTGACAAAGACAACTTACAAATCTCTTGTGAAATGGTTTGCAATGCATTTATCTACGGTTTGATTTTTTTCTGTCCGTGACATGGTTGGCGGTTATTTGGAGAAAAGAGAAAACATATGGCTGCGGCTGAATAAAGAAGAGCATGCAAAGAAATCAAAGAGATACTTAAAGTCTGAACAGCAATCTGGTTTCACTATAACGCGCTTCAAAGCAGTCTCATAAGTGGTTCATCGCTCCACAGACAGCAAATACTGTATGTAGTGACTACAAACTACACAGAGAGAAGTCATTAACTGATCAGAGAGACATGTGCACTGCCATAGATAGAATATCAAATGGTTTTACTGTTATTAAAAGCAACGTCAATACAGATTATGATGTGATCGAAGAAACTATTATTAAGTCAAAAGCCCCCTGCGTCAGTGGTGTTGCAAAGAGGGGAACACCACACCCATTCAAATATGCAAACTGTATAAACGGCGTGGTTGGAGATATCGCTTCAATTTAAAGGGTCAGAAGCCATAAAGATTGCACGGAAGTTGCAGCCATAAATTGAATCCGAGTGCCTAGAGGGAGCCAGAGAGAGTTAAGTTGTGAGTAAAAGATAAACAACCAACTCCAAATGTTCTCTCCCCAGCACCATGATGGAAGAAAACAACTCATCCATGTAAACCAAATGACTCCCTTTATCGTCCACTATGGAGTCTGGCTTTCTAAATCAGATTACTTTAGATTTGCCGGCCCGACGCATAGTTTGTATGCATTTGTCTCGCAAGCACGTCCTAACTGCCTTAAAGTGAGACCCATCCAGACACCAACTGAACTGGACAGCCATGAGGTTTATTTTCTCTTCTCCACCTCATTAAAGACCACAGGTTTGTGAGTGCATCATTATAAGTACATCTGAGCTGGACAAAGGAAAAGAAAAAAGATACGGCCCTGCATCAAACTGACGGATTAATTTTCAAGAAAGATGAGAGATAGATTAGCAACGAGGTCACTCAAGCATGCACAGAAAAATAAATACAATGGCAAGACAGGAACAGGAAGACAGAATGTTAAAATAATTGCATGTAATCATCTCATATTGCCAATTTTCTTCCTTCAGGAAGAGGCAAATGAAAGTATTTATATGGCAATGCTGGTACAACTCTTTGTGGTTTATTCCATTGGCTCATTAGCCTCTTATGGCACGAGTTGTACAGTAAAACAGTAGATGTTTCCACTCAAAGAAAAGTTAGCTGCTGCAGTAGAAGTGAATGGAGGCGGAATCAATGGAAATCATCAAGTAGGAGCTCTGCTGAGCACTTCTTCTCCCAGCTGCTGTCAAAGTAATGACTACAATATGACTGACCTAAGATGTATTAATCACACAGGAATGTAAGAAAGTAAATTCACAGAACACTGCAATGATAAAGAAAAAGAGGCAAAAAACACATTTTGTTATTTTGTTAAGAGTTAAGTAGGCCTGATTCTACTGAAATTAAATGTTGAAAAATAAACTTTATAAAGAAGATTAACCTACAAAAAGCTCAGGTTCCACCAATCTCGCTTAAAAAAGTAGCTGTAAAACAACCATTGACGCAGTTGCAGGATGACAGAGAGACGCGCAGCGCGTAAACGAGGATCACCGCAACTTTATGAATGGAGACCAACGCAACATCAGCCCCAACATCAGCCTCAGACTCAAGTTAATCCTAGAGAGAAAGATATTTTGATTCCAATTTTCTTGCAAATGAAGCTAAAAAACTACCAGAAGTCTAACAGCAATCAAAACGTGACCAGCCCCCCCTCCATAGCCCCCCATCCTCCTCCTCCACAGTTTCTTAAAACACCGGTAAAAAAAAAAAAAAACAGAAGAGAAAATTCGCCCGCTAAACGCGCACGTCTAACTCTCCCTGCATTTTAATCGTGTTATTTGCGCTCCATCCTTTTTAACAGACATGCATTCGTAGGTCCCCCCCCCCACCCGGTGCCCCCCCCCCCCCTCTCCTCCACCTCCTGCAACAACGGGCTCCCTAAACAATAGTCACAATCAAAGCCATTGATAACTCCATTGAACTGCGACAACGGATCCCTAATGCGCACAGTACCTTGCGACAATTGGAGTGCCACGACGTCGAGGAGCCCGGAGTCGGAATTTGAGGCAGGATGTGTGCCCCGGAATGCAATATTGAACTATAGCCTTATGAGAAAGGGAGAAGGAAAAAAAAAAGTTAGGGAAATGCCCTGTTTGGGAGAGGGGAGGGGACAGAAGAGTGAGGCAGAGAGAGAGAGACAGCAGGGGGAGAGAGAGGGAGGGAGAGAGGGGGAGAGGGGGAGAGGGGGTAGTAGCGGACTGCAGGACAAACCCACATTCCTCAAGACTCATGGAGCTGTTGGAACACGGGCCAAAGCAGCTAAAGCTTCTTCACACTGGGGATAACTCACTGTCATCACTGTGCGAGAGAGAATCCTTCTGGCTACGCCTCGGGAGGATCATCTTTGATGATTGCTGAGAAGCATTTGCATTAACCTCTGGATGTGGAAAAATGAGCCAATATTGGCAAATCAATGGGATGACTAACGTTGGGGGTCATCGGAATTATCAAATAGCAACAATTAAATCGCAGATAGCTCAACAAATGCATGTCTATTGCTCATCTCGGTGCATTTACAAATCAAGTTAACTGTAAAGTCCACTAAAGAGCACGTTTCCCTGTCACTGTGTGTCAAAATGACGCTGGCCTATTCAAATAGTCCTGCTATTTACTGCCTGGACCCGCCGGTGCTTGTGATTGACGCATCCTTGTGCTTCGTTGCCACAAGTGCTGATAGGAAGTTAACATTGAGAGAGCGGCCATCTGGGTGGTATATTGGTGAAGACAGCTGAGGACATCTCAAATGTTTCTACTGGGTGCGCTGATGTCGCCACTCTCAACAGAAACAGTGTTGGCCCTAGAAAGGCGACTTGTTGGGCACGAGTCAAGGTCTTCTCTCGCCGCAAAAATGCATCGGCACAGCTACAGAACTATCTTTCCAGATATCCGTTTCGATGAGAGGTTTTTCAATAGGAACATCTGACGAACAAATCATCAGCGCTTTATGAGACATCTGTCCTGTTGTGGTGTCAAAATAACGGGCAAGTTCCTTTTGCTGAAGAATCAAATCAGAAACTTCACCGTGTATCCGATACGAAAACCTTTAAACCCCCGTTGAAGTGTTTTTTTTGTCTCAGCAGGACGTAAATACCAACGTGAATGTGGGAAACTAGGATTTCCGGAGACAAGATGATGTAAAACCACTCTTGATCATAAGTAGATGCGTTTCAATTTGAATTGAAAACCTGGAAATGTCCACATTGTGTTTATTGATGAATACAAATCATCACATCATTTAAACAAAAGTGTTACAAAAATATAACAATGGAAATTCCTACTACATCAGAATTTAGCATTCTCTCCATCGTGTAGACAAAGGCAGTTCCACACAATTCAAAACACATTGCACCGCCCTGTTCGTACGGCCGCTCGCATCCTCCCGCTGAACACAGCGATTCATTCTGAGCGGAAAACACGCAGTGTTCTGTACGACCGTACGACCTGTACGATCCAGCGCGATGATTTGTGGTCAGAGAGTCTCACTCTCTCACTGACAGCATGAAAGGCCGAGACTGATGGACCGGGCTCAGCTATGTGTGTGTGTGTGTGTGTGTGTGTGTGTGTATCTGTGTGTCCCCCCTTTTTTTGTGTCCCCCCTCCCCCTTCGCCCCTATAAACAGAACCACATTTCCCCACACGGGGATCTGGCTGTAGTGAAAACCCACCACTGTCTGTGCTTATTGTACTTTCATAGGTTGGGGGGGGACTTTAACTAGCCCTCGCTTGACCCTCTTCCCCCTCACTCACTTGTCTCCCATCTCTCTCTCTCTCTCTCTCTTCAACGCACACATTTGTATTCACGTACAGCATGTAAACTGTCCCACACACCATAGGTCGACCCAAGGGAAGAGCAAACGGCCCGAGGAGCAGGAAATGATTGCGGAGAGACCCGTGGCGACTACACGGACTCGCGTTGATAAAAGCAGGCCATATGTCATCTATTCACACACACACGCACACACACACACACACACACACACACACACACCGTACTGTAGGACGATGACACGCGCAGAGGAGGCGCAGGAATGCAGGGGCTCGGTTGAGGTTGGGGGTCTCTCCTGTAGCTCACGCGGTATAAATGATGACAAGTCAGTACAGAAACCAGATGAGGATCGCGTTGTCCCCACATAGCTGCACAAATCTCTCCCTCAAGTCAGATTCCATAAGTAAGATTTGATTATCAGTGCAATTACTTGATAGGAGGGTTTGTCACGATTCAGCTTCTCTGCCATATCCTCCATCATGATATAAAATAAAACACAGCTTAAGATTGTTATTCTTTCTCTATACAGGTCCTGGGAAACTGTAAACTTGAGCCACTTGAAAGTGTTCTGACAAAATGTTTGAAAATATTTAAAATTGGCCGCAAGGCGTAGCACTCTGAAAAATATGTCATATGATGTGAATGCTCCAAAGAATATTCTTTCATGAGTTGTTTACAGTAAATGTACAGTTACTGTTTAATTGCTGGTCTCGGGTCGGATGCAGGATTCTCCAAATAGGAGGTTTTGGAAGTGTGAGGAGAAGCTTGATCCCACAGAAAGAAATGAAGACTGAGTTTGGCCGTGCTGGCGGGATTGTGGGACATCAGCTGTCACTGGACCTTTGAATCCCCAGTGGTGATACGACGTGTTAACAAGAAATTAAGCATATTACAGAAATTGATGATTCAAAGTTGAGGTCTACACTTGTTTGACATTGAGTTCAAGAAAAATACCAGGCTGCAAGATTGGAATGGGAAAGTTACGAGGATTTCCTTTTATTATTTGAATGCTACGCAAGTCAAATGAGGCAGCAATGATGAGGCTGACTGGATAGATAGATAGATAGATAGATAGATAGATAGATAGATAGATAGATAGATAGATAGATAGATAGATAGATAGATAGATAGATAGATAGATAGATAGATAGATAGATAGATAGATAGATAGATAGATAGATAGATAGATAGATAGATAGATAGATAGATAGAACAATGTCCTTATGTGTGGATCACAGGAACAACCAATATCCTCCTTTCTCAGCCTCCTTCAACAATTTTTCTTCAGGTTAACGACTTCCCCTCCGCTACGCTTGTTCCCCGCATCTACCTCCTCTTCCATCTTTCTTTCCATCATCTACTGAGCAGGCAGGCATGTCTTGCTTACGGTTCTGCTCGGCTCTGTGAGGACCTGGCGTTGTGCAGCTGTGCTGCCCCGATGATGCAGTGGGAGAGGAATGTACAACTTCAAAGTATAACACGAGTGGAGACAAAGAATGGCAGTGTTCAAGCAAGGATGAGAATATGTGATCTCATTTTTAAAAAAAGCACACAAACACATTGGTCCATTTATGCAAGGTTAGAGGATGAGGAGGAGGAGGAGGGCCTGTCTGCTTTTAGGGAACCAGAAGAGGAAGGATGGCGGACGTTGTAACTCTCCAAGGCTCGTTCGGCCACGGTTAAATGATTGTTAAAACATACAGTGTGGAGAGGGATGGAGAGAGGTTGATGTGTGTGAGCTTAAATAGTTTTCAAAGGGCCGTTGAGTAAGATTTTCTGGATAAGAGTTCCATAACCCGTGAAACTGCAAAAGACAGAGGTTAGGGTCTTTAAAGAAAAGGAAAGAAATTCAAAGAGAAAAGAGGTTAAGAGAGAAATGTAGCAGGATTCCAAGAGAGCGGAAAGAATCCTCAGACTGCTTGCTAACAGTTTGAGGGGCTAATGGCTTTCAGATGTGTGCAGCGTCTTTTGTATTTTCAAAGGAGCATAAAAAATTCCCTCTCAGTGGAATCCAAACAACGGCTGGAATTCACACGCTTAAAGATCCACAGCAACGTTCATGTTTATCCCACGTATGCTCATGTTACAAGAATGGTGTCTTTTGAAGCTTGAGACAGGCCTGTTCTTTCAAATCTCCTTTTTATTTTGGGGTTCTTTTCTTTAATGCTTCCTCTTGGGGAGCGCTGCAGTGGGTTGGACTGGGCGGGGGTGGTGTTTTCACTATTTCCTCTCCAATCCTTGGGGGAGCTGGAACTTGGTCGAGGTGATCTCATTTCTCCCACTCCAATTGATTGCAGGGGGGGGGGGGGCGTTATGGCTGCTCTGTGACGGAGCAGGGCTTCCATTCATCAGACAGTTTATAATCACTGTTATATTGTAATTTCAGATACCATGTACTGACGGCTGAGTCCTGTTTGTACATGCAGCCAGCAGACGACTTAAGTAAGACTAGGAAAAGAAGATGGCAATGGGCAGACTTGTTCAATCCGAACGTGACATTGGTCAAAAGTTTGGACACACCTCCTCATTGAATGACAAATTTATCAAACTTTTGACTGGCCTTGTAGGGGCAACATTATTTCTGGCGGGGACTAGTACGGTCCTTGAATCTCTGAAGGTTGCCAGGCAACTTCAGCAACTAACAACCAGTAAATGACCTCACCTCCTCTAAGTCCCAGTTTCCCCCTAGCTCTGTTCGGCGCTGTCTCATGTCTCATGAAGACAGTATCGGAAAGCCATAGAAAAGAGCGAGGAAGCAGCTGTGCACTGCACGCAGGTGAGGCAGTTAACCAGGCGCCAAATGAAGCAGTCCATACTGAGGTGTGGTCCTCTTAAAATTATATAAATCACTCAGTTAAAAAGTAATAGGTAGAAAAACTCTTTTTTTTCCAGTGCCGTTGACTGTTAGTGGGGGGGTTGGGCTGCAGCGTGAGAGTAAATGGCGTGTGGATTTTAGAACCAATCCCTCAAGCAGAACATGAGTACATCACCTTTGATATCTCCTTCCTCCCCTCCTCTTAACATGTTTGCACGTTAGCGTGCCATAAAGTTGTCATCTCCATTGCAGCGGAGCTGTAATTTTCCCGTTGCCGAACTGGGTTTTGTACCTTTATGCGTCAAAATGTCCCGGGGCCTCATGTTTTAAAAGGCTTGAATTTATGTTAACAGTTAAAAAGTCATGATTTACTTTTTGTTCATTTGGAATCCCCAAGGATTTCCTTGTACACTACACCATTAAATATTCTCAATCCATGACGTTATTTGGCGATGAAACGTTGTAACTTGCCTCTTAAATGCACCATTACTCTTTTACTCTTTTAAGACG